AAGATACAGCTCCATTATTCTTAGCCTCTTACCTGGTTGAGACGTCTCACGTGTGTCAGTTGTGTGATTAGTGTCTTTTTCTCTCTTGAGAGCTCCTGGTCATGCATGTTCTGTCTCTCCCGGTGTTTCTGGGCGGCTTCCCTGGGGGTGGGAGCCACCTTGTCTTCTGTCCTCCTGGCCCCTCACCTGAGGGCTCTGTTCTTTCTGCCTTCTCAGGGATGCTCCATTCCTCCTTGCTGTGCTCATGTTTTTCATGTGTCTGCTGTGTTTTTCTTAAAGATCTCTTTCGGCTGCTCAGCTCACTAATTTTTCTCTTGGCCATGTGCGATCTGCTGATTTAAATTTTAGTTGTTTTGCTTTTTAAAAGTCTAGAGTACAGCTGGGTGTGGTGGCACACGCCTATAATTCTAGCACTGGGGAAGCTGAGGCAGGAGGATCACTGAGTTTGAGGCGAGCCTGGGATACATAGTTCAAGACCAGCCTGAACTATATATAGCAAGACCATGTCTAAAAAAAAAAAAAAAAATCTGGGGTTTCTCTTTGGTTTCTTTTAATTTAACCAGTTCTGTCTTTTTTAAAATAGAAATTGTTCAGTCATGTTTTATGTCCTTTATCTTGTCACCCCTTGAGCTATGATTAGTGGCCTCACGTTTTCTGTCTCTGCGTGCTTCAGAGTTTGGGATGACACCCTATGCCACATCTCTGCACCCCCATGGAGCAGTTGCCACATGTGTGGCATTCCACAGTGACCGGCCCTGTACTGGTGGGTGTGGGAGTCCTTGCTGTCCTGATGGCTGGGCCTGCAGCTCTGGTCCTGGGTTGGCTCCTCTCCCTCCCTGTCTGTGTGGCTCACGGTGGTGCCAGTCAGGGTTCAGTGTCTGCAGGTGGCTGTGACTGTCTCTCTCCCACCCATCGGTGGACAGGCAGGCAGCCCCGTGCTTTAAAGGACCCATAGGTGTAGGCCTTGGCCTTCATGATGCCTTGGGTCCAAGTGACCCTGACTCACCCAAAGGCACACTTTGTGGTGTCACCTGTGCAGATGCCCCGGCCCACTTCCTGGGGCACAGAGCCTTAAGCCAGAGGGTGGAAGTTACTAGCAGTGCTTGGTTTGGATGTGTTTCCCAACTAAGATTCGGAGTCAGGCGTGACATTCAAGGCCAGTGGTCCTTGGGAGCTGCCTCCCTGCTGCTCTGCGTGTTGCCCTCCTTCCTCTGTTGGGCGTCAGGGCTGCCCTCCCTGTCCCAGTCCCCAGTGACACCCAGCAGTTTATGTTCAGTATTCTAGCAAAGTGGCAAATACTCAAAAATTGGGCTATTTGGGGGATTGACCTCATGGCCTCTGCGCTGGGCTATGACTCAGGTTTTTAAGTTTTTTATTAATTTTAAAACAGTCTGGCTAAATTGCTATAGGGCTGGTATTACAGGCATGCACTATCATGCTCCATTTGTGTAATAAATAACTCCTGTGCATACACCCAAAGGTTTATAATCCTTCATCTGAAAGCTTTGGGCCAGATGTGTTGGGCTTCAGAATTTTCTGGAATTCAGAAAGATTTCACAGTGGGCATGCTGGGTACGACTGGGCACCTACACCAGATAGCAGTCTTCACACAGGACAAGAGTCCTGTGCTGACCTGGGGCCAGAGGTCTGAGCATCTGTTGGGAGGATGACATATTCAGTAAAGCAAATATGGGGGGATTTCCTTCTGTCTTGTCTTTGAAGGCAAATATTGTTTTCACTGTTTTGCTTTGTTCTGATTAATTGTTTTGCTCTATTCATCACTGTTTTGATTAGTTTTATAGTATTCTGTTTTTGATTTGATTTTGCCGCACCCGATTGAATGGAAAATTACTGTGAAGATAACGAGATATACAATGGTACCTATTACTGTTATCCCAGTAACCTACTCTGAAGTTCTGTACCAATTTCACTGCATTGTCTTGTTTGGCTTTGTTCTGTCTTGTTTTGTTGCATGTTACTGTCTTTAAGACTAAAAAAAAAAAAGACCAGACAGCTCTCGGAGGCCTTGGGCCTGGCATCCCAGTGAGACTGCTCCACATGACACGGGTGCAGGCTCAGAGTGACGTGGGTCGCACCCTGCCACAGTGCCTCCACCCAGTCTGCCTGGCAGGCGGCAGCACTGCGTCTCCCTCTTAATCTGGCATCTCCCTTTGCCCTCAGAGACAGCTGCCTCTTCTGCCTCAGGAAGGAGGAGCACTGTTCTCGGTCTTGAGTGGCCGCTGCCTTATTCCTCACTGCCCGCCTCCATTCTGGGCCTCGTGTTGCCTCACTGCCCCTCTTCTCTGTGTATCTTGTCCCCGGACTCCACAGCCTGCTGCCTTCCATCCCCTGCTCAGTAATGCTGCCTCCTAGAGTCTGAGCGAGGACCCAGGAAGTGTCTGCTCCTCTTGGCCATGTCCTGATGTACCACTGGGTGTGGGGACACCGTCTTCCTCTGTCCAGTGTCCCTGAGGGGCTTTCGCCTGCCTTCTATCCCTGTCTTTACCCAGTGGCTCTGCTGCCCAGTCTCTGCCCGGCCTCCCTCTGTCCTTCCTGTTCTCTGTCCATGTCCCCAGGAGACCCTGTCCACTCTGTCCCTCTACCTTTGCCCCCTCTTCTCTGTGGTCAGTGTTGGCTCTCCTGGACTGCTTGGCCATGCAGTGATTCCCTTTCTGGTCCTCATGCTGACATTTCCCTGTCCTCACCGCATCCACCCTCACCACCATCCAACCCTCCTCCCTTGCAGGTGAGCGCCTCTGCACTTTCCTGTTCCCCATGTGGTCTGACAGGAACATGGCAGGAATGTGTGCTTGCTGCGAAGACACAAGTGACACACAGACAACCCACCCCTGCCGCCCACCCCAGACTCCAGGCCCTGCTGACAGCTTGCTGTCCCCTCCCTCCCGTCTTGCCTCCCTCTGTCCCTCACTCAGTTTCAGTGGACCTGCTCCAGGCCTCTGTGGGCTCCTTTTCCTCTAGGTCTGCTTTTGCCCCTCCCCCCATGATGGGCCTGGATGGGGTAGGCTGGGTTTCCTGATGTCCACCCAAGAGCCCCTGGTGCGTGGCCGGCTGGCAGCTGTTGTGTGCTGCCAACCCCGCCTGGTTTAACCCTGAGCTCCAGGTGTCACTATGTGATGGTTTATTTTCCAGTTGAAGCCTCTGTTCAGGATGAAATGGAGAAGGATAAATGATAGGAACAAAGTAGAATCAGCTGTAAAGAGCCAAATTATTCCTTTCCCAACAACACATACCCCCATGCCTGCTACATACATGCGGTGTACCTGCGTGTAATCCCAACCGTATTGGGAAGGACTTTGGAAAAAGCAAGGCAGCCTCAGTCGCAGCAGCCTGAGTAGCTGCAGAAAAGGCAGCCTTAAACTGGCTTCTCCATGCTTGGAAGCAGGACAGAGAAGGTCAGCATTGTTTGGATAAAACTGGCATTACGTCAGAGAGGACAGACGACACCTCAGGTCCCAGGAGAATCTGGGACAGAGGGAGAAAGTCAAAAGCCTGACTCTTCTCTGATTGCTTGCAAACTAATCGTACACAGTCCTAGCAACATGCTGCCCCAGGACCCAGGCCTGAGTGTCCACATCATCCCTCTGATTCATAGCCTTCCTCCTTCATCCCCTTGTGGGTACAGGCAGCTGGGCAGCCCTTTGCCTGCCCCTTAGAGTTCCCTAGAAAGGAACAGAGCCTCGAAGATCCTGCACCAGCCAAGTAACAGGGAGCTGGGTACCTTCCTTGGCCAGGGCAGTCCACATTGGTAACTACCTGCTCCCTGATCCGGGGTGCACACCTGTTTGGGATGCTCAGCAGTGTCTAGCAGATGTGGCTGGGATAAATGTGGCACCTGTGCTGCTGGGACCCCTGGGCGGCCCTCAAAGCTTGTCCAGGAGCGTTGGTGAGATGAGGGCTGATGATAGACATGTGTCTTGGAATTTTAAACCGCGAAATTGCCACTTCGATCGCTCATATGTTCCCAGGGCCCATTCAGGACAATCATCGGAGGTTCCTAGTCACTCCGGGTGATTAACACCCACACCCTGGAGCTGGCACTGACAGACACCGGAGAGATGGTGGTAGTGGATGTGAGGGCTGTCAGTGGAGGACACAGGGGCCCCAAAGTGTCACTATCCCCTGAAAAGGGACCCCTTTGTGGGGAGGCAGCAGGCCTGGGAGGGAAGGAGCCCCACCTGGGCTGGCCAAGAGGCTCTGAGCTGCTTAGTGCTGTGCTCTGGGTTCTCTGCATCTGGTAGCACTCTGGGAGCTGCTGGTTTTAAGTGGAGTAACAGCGCCTTCTGTGGATAAAGAGCAGAGCTGCAGGAGGGTTTGTGGTGGGAACGCCACACTCCTCCACTTCTCATGCAAATCTTAGGAGTTTATTTGGCCAACAGTGCCCGTGCTGGGCTTTCTGATGGTTACCTCTCCAACTTCAGAGAATGAGCTTTGATTCGTCAACTTCACAACCTTCTCCTGATTGTGCTTTCACAAAGGAGTATTTTGCTAATATTTTGCACCTCTCAAATAATTCTATTACTGTGTTTTTTCTGGTAATTACCCATTCACAAAGTAACACATAGAAGCTCCTATTTCTAGCTGCTAGATAGCACATTTGAATTCATGTTTTTTGTGTGTAAAAGCCACAGTCCTTACTTTCCATATGCATATGTGTACATGTGTGTTCACACAGGCTCTCCTTTCACATCTGCAGCTACTTTACTCTCTAGTTTCAAAAGAGAAGCTATGGAAGAGTCCATTGCTGGTGGCCGTGGCAACTTGCTGTCCTTCCGACTGGGCCCTTCAGAGCCTCTGATGTCTTGTAGGCGGATATCAAGTGGACGTATGCATAATTCCTAACTTCCAGCCCAGTGTGGCTGGTGGCAGCAGTAGCTGTTTCTGTCCGTATTCCACAGGAACGAACTTCCTCCCAGGACAGAGCTGCACACTGAGCCCCTCGGTAGTGGGCCAAGCATAACTGAGTCTTTCTGTCTTGGTAGCCAGGAACCCATCTCCTGGGCCAGCTTCACCATGGCTGACCTAGTTCCAGACCTGCAGCACATTCTTTTCTGGATGTCTAACTCCATCGAGCTCCTGTACTTTATCCAGCAGAAATGCCCATTCTACATGCAGAGCATGGAAGAGGAGCTGGATGTCACAGGTACAGCCCAAACTGGCGCTCCCCGGAGAGGTGCTGTCCTCGGGCACAGTTAGCTGAACGTGACAGAGGGTTGGGTTCCTGTCGTGGCTTCCTTGGTACCAGGCTCCATGTGGGCAACCATCTGGAGACAGCCTGTGAGACCAGCTTAGGATCTGGGCTGATCTGGTGCCTCTGTCCAGCACATTGGTGCTGTGCCATGAGGCACCTTGGTTGCTTACCACAGGCTGGGGGACTGACAGGACACTTGGCCAGGGCAGAATGGCCGCATCATAAACCAAATGCCAGACTCCGAGAGGCTTTGGAAAAGGATCGGAAAATTGTAGATCGAGTCACGTTCAGAGATAAACACGTGGGAAATGTGCATGTAGGATTCAGGAAACACAGCGGGAAGTGTTCTGCAAACAACTGGGGCAGTGGCTCTATGGGGAGGTGCGGGGCCAAGCCATGGGCACAGGCAGACTTACGCTGGCAGCGGTCACCTGATAGCCATAGGGGGCTGGAGCTGACCTGGGAGTTTCTGGACAGAGCTAGGGTGCCTGTAGTAGGACCAGTGCTCTGACAGGCACCTGGGTCCCGGGAGAGAGCCACCAGTGGGTGGCCCGGGTGTTGTCCCACACAGCCATGTCTGGCTGTGGCTGAAACAGAGCTGCTTGCTTCCTTCACATGTGCAGGGCTCGGGGCTGCTCTAGCCTGGCTGGGGTGCTGTGGGGGTGCTGAGCAGGTGTGGCTTGGTGACTCTGTTTCTGAGGGGCCCAGGCCATGGTAGGGGACATGGTGGGAGCTGCCCTCAGACCTGCTCCCAGCTGGGAGGCACCGGGATGGGGACTGTGAGGTGTCCCTGGCTGTGGTGTCCCAGATCCTGCTGTCCCCTGGGAAGCGGCTGTGGGCTCTGTTAGAAAGAGACCCCAGGCCAGGACCCAGTGGTGCTGGGCCCTCTGGCACCAAGAGCAGATGTCCTGAGAGAAGGGCTCTTGACTGGTGACCAGGGGGATCAGGGCGTCCAGGGTAGCAGCTTTAGGACAGGCTCCTGCTTTGCTTCACAACTGAGAATAGATGGGACCATGGAAGGGGACCCTGCACAGGCTGGGTGGGTGGAAGGCTTGGACTGTGGATGTCAAGGGGGTTGGAGGAGGCTGGCTTGCCCTCTATTCACAGTGTGTTTGGGGGACCTCTGTGGGCTCCCAGGGCTTCAGAACCCCAGCTTCTATGGGTGTGTGGAGGGAAGCTCACCCCCGTGTGGGCCCTTCCATGTCCCTGGCATATTCTAAGCCATGGCCTGTCCCTTGTCCCCTCATGCACATGAAGAACAGCCAGTTTGCCAGAAAGGGGCGTCATCTCTGCCTGGCTTAGGTCTCCGAGCAAGGGCTCTTCACCAGCCTGTGGCTCACGCAGTTCTGGTGTCCAGCTGCCCTTACCCCCTGCCCAGGCAACTCCTGCTTTCTCCTCCTGAGGCCTAGTTCTGCCTCCTACTATGTGGGAAGTGGCGGGGGATGGGGGAGGTTGTGTGCCACTGGGAGTCAGGCTCTGCTGCCCTCCTTGTGTATGTGGTGGGGCTGGGTGTGGGGGCTGTGGACAGGGAGGTCCCTTTTGTTCTAGCTCCCAGGGTCAGTTGGCTCAAGAGTTACCTCTCCCACCTGTATAACTCAAGGTCCCTCTGCGTGGCAGTGTAGGCCCGTGCTCAGAGTCCCAGTCTGGTCCAGGGACCTTCTTCCTGCTGTGAGGGTGGCGAGATCATTGCCTCTCTCTCAGGAAGAAGTCATTTCTAGTCTGTCAGGCCTGGGAGTTGGAACACTGAGCCCAGGGCTGTGCTCGAGCTGGACCCAGGAGCCTCACAACCGGGGATCTGACTTGAGAGAAATCATATCAACCTGATGACCAGGAAGGGGTCCAAGGCCACAGGTTAGCCTGCTGAACCTGTGCAGGAAGTGACTGTGGGACAGATTCTGCCATCAGACATATCATGTCCTGAGAGCTAACACTGTCACCTTTGTCATCCTGATTTTGTGTTGAAGCTCATAACCAAGGCCCCCATTATGCGGCTCTCGGGGACAGGTACACATGGCATCTCCACCATTACGCTGTTTCTGTCTGTCCGTATTCCACGGAAACAACTGCTCTGTCTACCCACGGCTCAGCACCTGGACCTGCAGTGGGTGGGGCAGCCAGCCCGAGGGCTCTGGATCCTTGCAGAGGTCCTCACAGGGGAAGAAGCAGCTCAGGTGGTTGCCTGCGGCATCCGGCCCCGTGCGGTGTCTGGGGGAGCCTACTCCAAGGCTTCATCCTGCCACCATGGCCCCACTACCTGCTTCCTGTCAGCTCTGTTCTGTCCCTGGGGAACATAGTGCTCTGGATGCTCAGATACCCTTCAGCTCAGAGGCAGCTGCAGTCAGGTACCTGCCTCCAGTGGGCCAGTACAGGTGAGGGGTCCCCTGCACACACTGGCTTCCACGTGGGTGTAAAGACACTGGGGCTGCAGCTCCCTCGGCCTGAGTGGGGGTGTCAACCCCATCCCCAGAATTTATTCCTTCTTGAAAGGGTGCTCTGGCTCCATGGTGTGATGGCCTCCTCAAGGGCTGCTGCTTAGTTCTTCACCTGTGTCCCCAGGGAAGGAGGACCTGTGGGCTAGGATTAAGGTCTGCTGTGGCTGGCGTAGCAGTTCTGAAGCAAACAGCCCTCAGGCCTGTAGGAGGAAACCATGGAGCATGTGGACCTCTGATGTGTCAGGTGTGGTTGGCAGGGCAACAGCTGACGTGTGTCAGGGTGCCCTCTGTCCCTGCCTCCTTTGCTGTCCCCCCCCCTGGGTGGCAGCAGGTTGAGGTTGAGTGCAGTGAGTTCTGAGGCTGGCTCGTCACGCACTGAGCCCATGTGGGAGCATGGAGCAGAGCGCTGGGGAGGTGCTGGGCAAGTGCTGGGTCAGCTCCTGCTCTGTGAGGCAGCCCATGAGCACGGAGCCTGGTGACACTCCACAGCCATCCCCCCAACAGGCTCCAAGGAGTCGCTGTTCTCCTGCACCCTGACAGCCAGCGAAGAGGCCATGGCAGCGCTGGAGGAGGTGGTGCTCTATGCCTTCCAGCAGTGCGTGTACTACCTCTCCAAGGTGCGGCCAGGCTCTTCCAGGGACCAGGGGTGCTACCTCACGCCGTCCTCCCCCAACTCGCTCTTCGCATCTGGCAAAAACTGGGCCCCGTCTGGCCTCTTCCCTTCTTTAGAGAAGTCCTGGGTGGAGCACATGGGATGTTGTATCACTGTCACCTCGACCCCATCGGGTGCTGGTAATGGTGCTGCTGGCCCTGCATCCTGAGCCATGTGTGGTGCTTTGGGAGCATGGGGAGCCCCTTTGCTGGGTCCCGTAGGATGCTTCCAGCCCCATTGTTAGGACCCATCAACCAGTGCTGCTTGTATGCACCACCTCTGATAGGAACATGTGTCACGTGACGACCAAGGCCAGGCCTCCTGAGCCCACTGCCCCCCTGGGCTCCCTCATGGGAGGTGACTCGCGCAGGCCATTCTGGCAAGGCTTGTTAGGTGGGCCCTTTGCCCTGGTCGCAGCACCGTGAAGTGCTTTTGGGACCTCTTTGCTCCACAGTGCCTGTACGTCTGTCTCCCTGCCCTCCTCGAGTGCCCCCCCTTCCAGACAGAGCGCCGGGAGAGCTGGCACGGGGGCCCTGTACTGCCAGAGGAACTGCGCCGCGTCGTGGCTGTGTACCAGGCCGCCCTGGATCTCCTGCGACAGCTTCGGGTACACCCTGAGGTGGCCTCTCAGATGCTTGCCTACCTCTTCTTCTTCTCAGGCACATTGCTGCTCAACCAGCTCCTGGACAGGGGTGAGCATGGCCACATAGGGATAGGACCTGTGCGCCTGTTAGAGGTGCCCAGTTTAGCTCTGGAGGGACCACTCTGTCTGCTGGGGTTGGGGCTGGGTGTGGGCAGGTAGCAGGCTGAGGCCAGGGTAGGGCCTGAGAATGCAGGGGACTAAGTCTGTGCTGCTGCCAAGTCTCTGCCTTTGGACCCTGCCCTGCTAGCTGATGAACTGTGCACCTGCTGGGCTCAGCACACAAATCACTCCTGCTGGGGGTGCAGAGAGGTCCACTTAAGATGAGTCCCAGCACACAAAAGCTGCCAGCACAGGCAAGATGGCACTGGGGCGAGGCATGTCTGCCAAGGCCTGCACTTTGGAGCCTGTGGCAGTCACAATCTCTCCTGCCCTATGCACTGCCTCCATCACCCCCCAGACAGACAAGGCCTGGGAAGTTGAGGCAGTGTCTCAGGTGTGCTTGAGCTGTGTCATCCTTGGTGGCCTGGGAGGGCAGAGCAGGCTCTGGGGAGCCCAGTGTCAAGTTCCTATACAGGGGGCTGGCCTCACCCTCCCTCTCCCCTTCCACCCCCCAGGCCCCTCCCTGAGTTGCTTCCACTGGCCCAGAGGTGTCCAGGCCTGCACCCGCCTGCAGCAGCTCCTGGAGTGGGCGAGGAGCGCCGGCCTGGGGGCAGCTGGGGAGCGCTTCTTCCGGAAGCTGTCCTGTACCCTGCATCTGCTGGCCACACCCAGTGCCCAACTTGTCCAGGTGGGGACATCACAGCAGCATGGGGAGGGGTAGGGCCACATGGTGGTACCCTAGGCTTACACACTGGGTCAAGGGTAGTGGGGAACCTCATTTTCCAGGCCCAGAACTCTCAGTTTCTTTGAAAGCTTACAAAGTTGTCCCCACTTGCAGTAGGCAAAGGTGTCTGTGCCCAGCCCTTGGTCTTATGACTGTCACTGTGCATGGTGCAGGGGACTCCAAGGATGGATAAGATCAGGAATCTTGAAATGAAGAAGTGGCCCTGGGACATGCAAGTGGGCCCAGGCTAATCAGGCAAGTCCAAAGAGTCCAGGCCAATCAGGGCCAGAGATGGAGGGCAGGAGAAAAGGGACCTGTGCCCTGTGGCTGGCTCTGAAGAAGGAGGGGCTAGGAGCCTGGGAATTCAGCTGACAGCCAGCTCAGAAATGTGGCTTCAGCCACAGGAAGGGACCACAAGGGCAGGAAGTGGATCCCTCTGCAGAGCCCAAGGAGACTCCCTGCTGTGAATACCCTGATTTCCACCCAGGGACCCCCAGGCCTGGGAGGTTACACATTTGAGGCTCTAACCATATGTCTGTGGGCACCTGTTCCAGCAATAGAAAGTTAATACACATCTTGCCCTCCTCCTTTGCCACTGGCCCACCACTGTCCCCTGAAAAACACTGTCATAGGTAATAAATGGGAATCCAACTGAGGGCTTCTTATCCTGCCTCGAAGATAACGAACGAGCTCCAGGCTGCCAGTGGGCACCCACAGGGCAGCTCACGATGACTCCTGCTCTCTGAGCTGTACTGAGTGTGCAATGCACACCATGCCCAAGCAGACTCTGGCATAGCTGACCTGGGGAGAGAGAGCACTGCTGCCTGAGAACCAGGACATGGGACACTTGCCTGCATGCCCTGTCAGTGAGCACAGTGGCTTTGCTCCATTGTCTTACGCAATCCTCGTGACCACCTGCCAGCAGGCAGCCTTGTCAGGACAGTGTCACAATGCTGAGGTTAGGATCTGCCCCAGAGGGCACGCAGGAGCCCTCTGAATGTGATCACTAGGTTTCCTATTGGAGGCGAGCCGTGCTCACCCCACCTGCATAAGGGTGGTCGGGGGCCATGAAGATCAGAACCTGAAGCCCTGTGGGCCAAGTTACAGCCGTGCTCAGTGGAAAACAAACTAAGAGCACCTGATCAGGAAGCAAGAAAGCAAGTTCACAGAAAGCAGAAGGGAGGAAATGATGGCTAAGAGCAGATCAGTGAAACAGCAGTTTGTGGTAGAAGAAAGCAATGAAACCAAGAGTTCTTTGAAAGCTTTAATAAAGAAACAGGAGAAACCACAGACTGCTAGTATTAATGCAAAAGAGGACTCAGAGCCTACATTAAAACTCAGGAGGAGGAGGAGGATATTGCAATTATAGTAATAAGTTTATGCTGATAAATGTGACAGTTTAGATGAAATAGACAAATAAGGAAATAAATACTAATAAAATATGCCAGAAGAAATAAAAGTCATAGTAGTCCTATGCATTAAAGAAATTGAATCTTTTCTTTAAAAGTTCATGGTAGGAAACACCTCTAATCCCAGCTGCTCCAAAAGCTGAAGCAAGAGGATCTCAAGTTCCAGTCCAGCCTGGGCAACTCAGTGAGACCGTCTCTGGACCAAAAAGGAGGGCAGAAAAATAAAAGGAAATACTGTTCTTAGCTTGAGGGTTCTATGGTTCTGTCACAGTTGATTACCCCTGAAATAGATTATTCAAGGAGAAGAAACTTTATTACAAAATTATCCTCAAAAAAATAAAGAGAAGTAATCACTTCTTGGCCTTTTGGCTAAGATTAAGTGTAGTATCTGTTCTTACCATTTTAATAACTGATATAGCCCCTATCTTAGGACAGTATAGTAAATGGGTTTTTGGAGCTGGGAGATGGAATAGGAGTTTGCTCCATATACTCCACGCATCGACCTGGTATTCCAGTACCTCCAGGAATGGTACACCAAAATAAGTAAGTAAATAAGGAGAAATATCCATAAATAATAATGAATCTGTAAAGAAGAAAACAGTGGAGATTGTTGGAAATTAAAACTACAGAGCCACAAGGGAAAGCTCAAAGGCACAGCTGGAAGATAAACCCCAAGAAATGCAGAGTAGAGCACCAAGCCCAGAGAGAGCACACCAGGGAGACGGGGCGGGGGTCTGCTCTGCCAGATCCCTCTCGGACACTGACACTGACTCAGAACTCACAGCGCCAGAAAGACACCCCCCAGGCCCTGAACTGGCATACAGCTGGAGGCTGCAGGCCTGGGGTCATATCCTGAGACGCTGACAGTCCTGCAGTGTAGATGTGTGATGACCTCAGCCCGGGCCTCCAGACATCAGTGGAAAAGCAAGCAAGAGTGAAAGAGGAAGAGGAGAAAAAAAGACTGAAAGCTGAAGGAGCAGTCAAGAGGCTGCGTCCAATAACAGGGTCCAGGCAGTGATCCGAGGAGCTGGGGAGCTTGGGGGCAGCTCCGGTACCGTCCCACATCAGGGCTTAACCCAGATGGTGTCACAGAGTAACCTCCATAGCAGGATGGGGATGAGACATGACCCAGAGCAGTCCTCTGAGCCACAGAATCCACAGGTCAAGGAGTTGCCCCCAGAATTACCAGTGCCCCCTACTGCTTACCCACTGGGATAAGAGGACAGGCTGTGTCCCCAGCACATGGGTACCAGTACCCTACCATGATCTTGTTGTGAGGCCAGAGGACCTCCTGCAAGCAGCAGGAGAAATGGGCCCCAGAAAGAAAAGGAGTTAACCGCCCTGGAGACAAGAGAAGGGCTTCTGCAGGACCGTGCTCAAGGCCCAGGGGCCACAGAAGAGTGAGGCTTGGTTTTGTCGGGGAAGCCCACCATTTCCCAAGGACTTGTACTTTTTTCTGTTTTAAGAAAACTCTCCTAGTCAGGTATGTGGTGCAGGTCTGTAATCCCAGCAGTCTGGAAAGTTGAGGCAGGAGCCTCAGTTTAGCAAAACCCTGTTTAATAAGCAAAAAGCCTGGGGATATAGTTGAGTGTGTAGGTCTTGGGTTCAATCTCCAGTACTGCAGAGAACAACAATAAAACAGAAGGCTTTCCTTGCTCGGAGCTTGTAGTCCCACTTCAGACCTGAAAGATGTCAGTCCTGCCTTTCACTTGTGTCTCTAGCCCACTTGATTTCTTTTATACAGTGTGAGTTAGAGACCTGATTTCATTTTTCCCAGCTTGCAGGTAGTCCTTGATTTGGACTTGGAGCCATGTGAGGTGGTTCCTGGCTGGCGTTGAGGGTGCTTGGAATGGTGACAGTGGTGCTGTCCCCTGGCTGACCACTGCTGTCCCACACAGCCCCGGGTGACATGCAAACCCTAGGGGTTATGTGTTTCCTGGGGAACCCTGCCCTGTGCTGTGACCCTTCCTGGGAGCTGAGTTGTGCCAGGCACTCTGTGAACCTGGAGGCCTCTGAGCCTGAGCTCCTCCTTGCTTCCAGATGAGCTGGGCCACCCTGCGGGCCACATTCCCCGCCCTCAGCCCAGCACAGCTGCACCGGCTGCTGACCCAGTACCAGCTGGCCTCGGCCATGGGCCCTATGAGTGCTTGGGAGCCTGGAGCCCAGGACTGTCCTGACGCCTTCCAGTCAGGTGAGGCTGCCAGGGGCAGGGGTTGGGACTGGGTGAGACCATCGTTCCCAGGCTCAGGGGTGGCTATGCTGCTGCTGGTACCTGCCCCTCTTAAGTTGGGAGTACAGGCCTTCAGCACCTGGGCCCTGCCCTAACCCCTGAGCTCCTTTCCCAGCTTCCTGTCTCACTTCAAGTCCAAGGTCCCCCCTTTCCTCATGGAGCCTTGGACTGGGAGCTTTACACAGTTACATGTGAACACATATACATCTTTATTAATTAATACAAATTACACATACACCTTCCCCATGAACACCGTGCAGATTGCAGAATGTAAACAAAACACAGTGAAGGATGTGGGAGATACTCCCCAACTTCCCAATTCATTGATTGGCATCTGAGGCCTGTACACATCCTGCTGCATGCTGGGAGCTCAGTAGAGATGTCACCTTACAGCCAGAGAGGTGCTGTGGTGCTTTAGTGGACAGCCCAGCCTGCACACAACCTTATGATCCTGGCCACTTGTGCAGATACGCAGTCATTCTGGGCCCTCAGCACCCAGGGTGCTTACCCAGCTCAATCAGGCGAGCTACTCACAGTGGCTCTGTGGGACGTGGCAAGAGTCCCACATGGCAGACACCTGGTTCCCATCCTGGGGACCTTGGGCAACCTGCCTACTGGGTGGTCATTAAGAACAGAGAAGGGATGAAAGCCCGGATGGATTGATCCCATCTCCCATGGCCTGGGCAGGTCAAACCCAGAGCTCAGCCTGCTGGTCCAGGTCCCATGTGCCTGGGAGACAGAGTAGGTAGGGGTGGGCCAGTCACTGCACCCTCATTCCACTGCAGATCATGTCCTGGAGTCCTATGAAAAGCCCCCGCCTATCGTCCTGCCCAGTGAAGGCTTCCAGGTGGACCTGGAAGCTGACTGCCCGGATGGCGTCTACCAGCACCTGATCTATATTCGACATTTCCTGTGGGGTCTACGTGGCCCAACCAGTCCTGACCGCGGGGTCATCCAGCCAGCCAGCCTCGAGGTAAGGGTTGGGTGGCTGGGAGAGGGACCTGGGTCCCAGAGCTATCATGTGGTATTGGGTAGAGACAGGCACAGGACTGCCTGGGCCTGGAGACACTACTAGCATGAGTGACAGCCGGAGGCTGCAGACAGCGGGGACACTCCCTGGGTTCTCCCACATTTGCACATTTTGCATAGTGCAGACTAGCAAATGTCCTTTGACTGGTGGCCCTGGACCCTGTCTCTTCTTGAGGGGCACCATGGCCACCTGGCCTGCCCTTCACAGGCTAACCTCTTGCGTCTCTTCCCCAGGGCCTGTATCACACCATCCCTGAGGGGCCCCTGGAGGACCAGGGCTGCCCCCTGGCTGCCAGGAACCCCAGCGGAGGAGCCCTTGAAGCTGCCCCTGCACACTCTGTTCCTGGTGCTGGGACTTCTGGAGCACAGGAGCCCCCAGGAGGACGGCAGCCCGGCCGAGGAGGCCACAGGGGCTCCCAGGCCGGGCTCCTGCACACTGACTCCTCCTGCCTTCTCACACCTCCAGGAACCCCACTCGGCCTTGAGCCTGGGGGACCTAGCTGGCCTGAGCCTGGCAGCCTCTGTGGAAAAATACTTCCTGAATTACAGAGGAATGGGCTAGGCCCCCTGGGTGCAGCTCTAGAAGGTGAAGCCCAGTCCCATGCATGCCCAACCTCAGACCCTGCCCTTTCCCTTGAAATGTATCCATCTTGGGGTCTGAGGTGTCTGCAGCCTTCCACTGCAGGGACAGGGGTTCAGAGTGGGAGATAATGGGGGTCCTGCTCCAGTCAGGGGGTTCAGAGTGGCCTCTGCAGTAGGTAGAGGTAGACATCACAGATGACAGGCTTTGGCCAGCAGATGTGTGGTAAAAGGTTGGGAAAGCTTCCAGGGTTTGGAGGTAGCCACACGTGGACCTAAGCACGTGCCATACACCTGTGTGCAGATGTGTCTGTGTGTATCCATAGCAGGCCCAGGGAAGAGCTCAGCACTTGGTCCTCCATGCTCAGGCTGAGCTTGGGGGTCCCCAGCACTGGGGTCTCCTGGCAGAGCCTACCTGCACAGATGTGCTCCAGACCAGGCGCTGGCTGTCCTTACCCAGGCCTCAGTGGGCATGAGCTCCTCAGAACGAAAAGGCCAAGCCTGTGGCCTTTGGGGTGGGCATGGCTGGGTTGCAGACAGGGTCTGGTCAATGTGGGACCCTCAGGAGGGGCCAACTGGGAGCCACATGAGGATGTGGAGGCAGGAAGAGAGGACCGAAGTAGAGAGACCAGGAAGGCTTTGCTGGGACACACAGGAGCGTGGGAGGGCCACTGTCCTGGTACAGCTGTGGAGAGGATGAGGTCCCCCTTTCAGGCATGTTGTGTGTGGCCAACAGGTGGACCCAACCTGAATCCTGGTCCACATTCTGCTCTCCTGTGCCCTGACTTCCTGGGGTAGGCACTGGTCTCCAGTCCTGTGGGCTCCTTATGCCCTTGCATCCCTCCTCGCCCACTCAGGAGATACCGTGGCCCCCATGGACGAGTCTCCTGTGGACCCATCAAGTGGCAGCTCCAGCACTGAGGACTTCTGCTATGTCTTCTCTGTGGAGCTGGAGAGAGGCCCCTTGGGGCTGGGCATGGGCCTCATCGACGGCATGGTGAGCAGCCCAGACCTCCCCTGCCCACCCCAAAACTGTGGGCTGCTGCTGCCTTTCCTGTCCAGCCTGGACACAATTTGTGTGCCAGGTGATCATGGCCTGGCCAGGGAAGGAACGTGGAGGTGGCCACCTGTGGAGGGTCCTTCTGGTCCTGCAGTTGCCCTGCTTGCTTGACTAGCCTTCAAGATGTGTCCCAGCCTTTGGGGACAGTGCCGGACCCAGTTCTTGTGTGACATCCGATACTCATACTGAATAGTCCGCACTGGGAGTGGGGCCACAGGTGCTGAGGGTGGGGCTGCAGGTCCTTGCTGGGGACAACACTGTCAGCATCCTCTGCTTCTCCCCAGCACACAGCTCTGGGCTCCCCGGGGCTCTACATCCAGACCCTGCTTCCAGGCAGTCCTGCAGCAGCCAATGGGCGGCTGTCACTGGGAGACCGAATCCTGGAGGTGAATGGTACCAGCCTGATGGGAGTCAGCTACATGAGGTATCACGGCCTCCCACCTCTCCCAGGCACCCTCGAGGGGAGGGCTCACCCTGTCCTACGGGATCCCTGAGCAAGAGGGAGTCTGATTTGCCTTGGCCTTGGGGCAGAGAGGCCTAGGGCCTCCGAATGACCCTCTCTTTGGTTTCAGAGCTGTGGACCTGATCCGACATGGGGGCAAGAAGATGCAGTTTTTAGTTGCCAAGTCTGATGTGGAAACAGCCAAGAAAATCCACTTCCGCACACCCCCACCCTAGGCGGGACTACAGGATGCGTCCCCACCCCCAACACCTTGGTCCACCAGGCGCCCTCCGCCAGTTCCTTAATACTGCCCATCACCTGGTTTCAGATCACCCCAGTGAGTTCCTATGTGGTGGCCTCATTAGGACACACCTGTTCATAATGTACATCTATATATTTTATTTATATGACAGATGACACTAAGTGGTAATATTTCTTAAGAGTTTTTATGTGTAAAGACTAACAGAGAAGTATAGATTCAATAAACTATCTTTCTTATCCTCCCTGGGGGCAGTGGTGGGCTCTGCCATTTGCAGCCTGGCATATCCCTAGCCCTTTACAGCCCGCCCTCCCTGGCAGCATGGTGGATCCCTGGGTGGCCATGGCTGTTTCCTGTCCAGAGGCAGGACAAAGACCACAGCTGTCTTGCAGCCAGAAGGGAAGAGCCATTAAGCAGGACAGCACCACCTTCTAGTTGGCTGGCTTGGTATGCCATGTACCCAGAGCATAGGTCTGGAGCCCCTGGGAAGGCTGGAAGGGGACTGGCTGAGCTGCAGTGTCCCCCAGGATCAAGCCACCCTGTTCCCAGCTGCCTCACCCTTGTCTCTGATCATCAAAGCCAGCAGCTTGGCCCTAATACCAGGCACTTAATCTGTAGTTGTCTTACAGCTAGTCACAGTCCCTTCATCCTCCAGCCCCCTCCACCTGTCAGCCTCCACCTGCCAGCCTGATGGTGCAGGGCCGGGGCAGTGCTATGTTGGCATCGTGGAGAGAGTGGGACTGTGACACACTAGGCTTCTTGAGCAGGTTCCACAGCCTGGGCATGGGAGACTTACATGTCTCCCTTGCCCTACACAGAGCAGTGGCTGGGAAAGGAACAGAAACCCTGGGGCCCTGGACTGGTGGGGTCCCAGCCCTTCAACTGCAGAGGACATATCACGTGAAAAGGGACTGCCTGCAGGACCCAGCACCATGGAGCAGTGTCCTTAGTAGGCCCCCTTGCAGCCTTATCAGTCCTGTGCTGCCCCCTGCTGAACACTTTAGGGAGGTGCAGTGCATCTGCTCCAGGTCCTTTGTCAGTGTTGCAGGCCACTGATTGCAAGCACAGGCCTTCCACTATGCTTGAACCAGTGGCTTATAAGCAGCTGCCCAAAATGCTGGATAAAGTATATTTCTAAAAAAATCCCTTTAAATGCATGGTTAGTCTTAAAAGAAAAAATCCTTGGAGCCTAAAATTGAAATGAGGGTCTAAGTTCAGAGCACCTGCACTTAGCATGGCAGGTTGCTGGTCCCAATCCTTCATGCCTCTGCTTTGGTGACAGTGTGTAGAAGAGGCAAAGTCTTAACTATTCCAAACTAGCAGGCGGAATTTATTGAGGAACCCAGGTTAAATGCTGAGGGACTCCAGTACTCCAGAGCTCCTGAAGGGCTGGACAAAGGGCCAGGGAATACATAATCACAGTACTATGTAGAGCTTATTTATTCCCTGCCAGGCCCCATGAGTGCACACAGGTATCAACCTGTGTAACTTGGGTGACAGTCTCCAGATATGGGGGCAAAGCAGAGAGAGACCCATATGTATGGCAGTCAGCCAGTGCCATAGTGCTGGGGTGGGGGTGGGGGACCTGAGCCTTAACACCAAAGCATTTATCCCCACTCAGCTCTGCCACAGCTGGAGCCTGGAAGTGTTGCCAACTGCAGCAGGCAGAGAGCTCTGTGGCCTCCGTAGTCCCACCGACCACCATGCCCTGGTCTCACAGCAATAGCACACATGCAGGGGGCAGGCTGAGTCAGGAGCACACCCCTGGCTTCCGTCACTTCTGCAGTGCCCTACTGGCCAAACAAGTCACACAGCCAGTCCTAAATCCATGAGTAGCAAAGTACATGCAACCAGCCCTGAAGCCATAGCCAGATGTGCATTTGTGATGCTTCTCTGGGTGAAGGACTACTTGGGAGGCTGAGGCAGGAGGACTGCAAGTTTGAGGCCAGCTTGGGCAAACAGTGAGACCCCATCTCACTATGGATCATCCCCCCAAAAATCAGAAAAGATTTAAGTATTTCAGACAGATGAAAAGATAATTGAATTAGAAGAGAGAGTTGAAAACTTGCCAGAAATCATCAAAATAAAAGTTGAGAGATGCAGAACAAGAAGGTGTGGCTTACAGTAGTTGGAGTTCTGAAGGAGACAGGAAAATGGGGGAAGAGTACTAAAGAGAATGACTAAGAGCTGATAAAAGATCCAAACCTCAACAAGTGCCAGGATCAGTCCAGTGAAATACACACTTAAGCACACTACGGTGAAGCTACAGAATGCAGAGACACAGGAGATCTATGCAGCGGCCAGGGAGTGGGACAGAGCTCCAGAAGAGACACTGCAGCTCGCTGCCAGCCTCAGAGCAGAGGCGAGATCCGCAGATACGACGGTCTTGTCAGAGGGCCAGGAAAACTCAGTCCATCTTTCAAGAAAAAAAGTAAGTTCAAAATATTTTTCTGGGGCTGGGGATTTAGCTCAGCGGCATAAGTGCCTGCCTTGGAAGCAGGCAGTCGTGAGTTCGATCCCTGGTACCGATAAAAACGAAAAAAGACAAAAATAAAAATTTTCCGACAAGCAAAAATGAAGACACTGAAGAGGTATGTATGAAAAGTGTCTGATGGAAGGTCTGACACACAAGAGTAATGGTAAGCAGATAAACCTCTATGCAGAGCAACAGTGGGAGGCTTTAAGTGTGGAGGCCTCAGGACAATTCAGGTCACTGAACTGAGGTGTGACAGGAAAACAGAAGGGGCTGGCGCTGTCGGGGGTGGGTGGGATGCTATTGATACTGGTTAGCATTAGACTTTGTAACGATGGGTGCTGACATCTCCAGTCCATGGAAAGACAAAGCAGATTCAACTTTCAAACTAAGAGAAGAAAAGTAACAAAAAACACATAGAAAAGTAGCACTAAATATGACAGCAGAAATTTATTCAGAATTGTCAGTACTACTACTACATGTAAATGGACTCTAACAGTATGTACGTAGTATTTATGAGCTACATGTAAGGTGTAAGAATGCATAAAAGATAAAGGATAGACAAAGATGTATCAGGAAGATGAAACTGTTCTGAACTTGAATGCACCTAACAACATTTTCTCAAAACACATAAAAGCCAGATGAAGACAAGGACTGAATCCATATGATAAAAGGAGACCTTAGCATAAATCTCTGCAGCAGGTAAATCCAGCAGCCAGAAATCAATCAATGGATGAACACAAGACAGCGTCCTGGACCTCTTGGAACTTCAATTCTAATTGTTCTAGCCTGACAATAAATAAATGGATTAATACTGCGCACCCCAGTGCTAAGTGCCGCAGATGACAGGGAGCACGCAGTGGCGATGGAGGATGGGGGTGTGGGTGTTAATACACAGTCTGTGGGCAAGCCTGTCGAGCAAGGTACCACTCAACGAAATGGTCCGATGTGAGCCACAGCTGTATGCTTATCTAGGGGACAGTGCTTCCACTGGGAGCAACAGGCACAGGCCCGAGGCTGAGCACATCCACACCTGGGATGAGGAGGGAGGCCCAAGTCCCACATAGCTGGGAGCTGTTCTGGGCACTTTGGAGTTTAGACTAGGTGAGACAGGACTATTGGAGGAGATGAAGCAAAAGAGTTACAAGCCCTGGCTAAATTTTAACAATTACTGGGGCTGTCATGTGACAGAGCAGTACAGAAGCGGGGCATCAGCTGAGAGGTTACCTCAGTGATGCAGGCAGCAGACCAGCCGGCTGCCGTTGGCTCTGGTGGAACACAGCCTCATGGGTACCACGGAGCAAGCGTGTCAACACAGCACCTGAACAGCAAATCGGGCCTAAAGGTTTGATTGCAGTGTGACACTTATAATGCTAACGATAAAAGGACACTGCATCTGGAGGGATCCCTGGTTATGGGGGAGGGAAAGACCTCCATTTCAAGAAAGCCCTTTAGAACTGGGTGTGGTTAATTCCAGCACTTGGAAGTTGAGGCAGAAGGATCACCATAAGTTCAAGGTCAGCCTAGGCTACATAGTGAAACCTGCCTCGAAAAATAAAAAAGCCCTTCAGGAGGAAGACTTGGGATTCAGAAAGGGAGTGGGGAAAGATGGCAAAAGCAGATGGGCAGTCACTAGGCTTCCAGTCCTGACACTGGGGTCATCGTGTTCACTTTTTATCTGCTAGTATCTGCTAGTTAATAAGACAAAGGAGAGCTTGGCACATCAGAGATGAGTGTGCTAAGGGCTGGGGTGTGGCTCAGTGTAGACTGCTTAGCTTGTGAGCAGCCCTGGATTTGAGCCACAGCATCAGAAAACAAAAACCAAGCTGGGCCTGGTGGCACACACCTGTAATTCCAGCACTTGGGAGGCTGAGGCAGGAGGATCACCATGAGTGAACAGCTCAATGGCTGTTAGTATATACAGTTGTGCAAACTTCACTACAGTCTAGTCACTGAAATTTTAGGGACCAATGAAGTATTAAATAGGCAGTTACAGGAGAGAGGATTAGTGAACTGGAGAAAATGGTCCGAATGATCTAGGCAGAATTAAACCCAGAGATAAAAAGGTGGAGACATTAAGTTTGAAGATTTTATATAGTATTTTTAAAATCTGTGTTTTTTGTACCAAGAATCGAACTCAGGACCTTGTGCTTACCAAGCAGGCACTGTGCCACTGAGCTATGTCCCTGGCCCCATTTACTAAGCACCATTTCCACCTGGTGCTAGGAGTCTAGCATTTGCATGAACCACGTGTGACACTGATGCTGAAAGAATGAACCTTCAGCAGACACACGTGACCCGCCAACACCTGTGGGCCAGAGGCCCAGGGTGACCGTGCTGCCAGTCAGGCGAGGATATGACATGCTCGGCCCCACTTGGCAGAGCCGAGTGTCCCAGGAAAGGAAGAGGCCACTGCCACAGCCCGTGCCACCAAGGCCTGGCCCCGCTCTCCACCTCCTCCCTGCTGTGAGGTAGAGTGGAAGGTGGAGCTCGGGTGGTTGTAACTTCGGAGCCTCCTGCTGCCTCTTTTCCTGCCCCATCCTGAGTTATTTCTGCACTGGCAAGGACGCTGGCTGCCCGGCTATTCAGGAGGCTGGGGCAGCAGGACTGAGAGCTCAACCTGGGCTCGTAACCGGCACTCTGGGAGGCTTGAGAATCAAAAGTTGCAGCCCAGTCAAGTGATCTGTCGAGACCCTATCAAAGAATGGGCTGGGGGCTGCAGCTCAGTGGTAGAGCACCCCAGGACTGGATTCATGCTGGTCCGATCAGGGATACCCCCTACCCGTGAAGGAGTGGGAGGAACAGATCATGTCTGGCCCTGCCATGCACTGGGATTCCTGCAAGCACAGAGAAGAGACCTGATGACGTACAAGAACTTCTAAGCAGGTTTACTTTTACTGCTTCCCTCCTTGCCCCAGGACTTTCGAGAAACAAGGAACAACAGGACACAGATCAGCATCCACCCAGTCTGAGAAAGGCCAAGGCCATCCAGCAGCTGCTCCCCGGTACAGCTCAGCAGGGCCATGGGGCCATGGGGCCAGAGTTAGAAGACAAAACCCAGAAAGCTGGAAGGAGGACAGGCTGAGCCCTCTCTCTTCTCCCAGCAGGCCCCTCCTCCTTAGTTCCTTTCTGATCACTAAAGCCAGTGGCTTGGACCCGGTATCAGGCTGGTGGCCCCAGGTCTTTAGAATCTACCTGGTCAGTGTCCACTGGGTCATGGTCCTGTCACCCTGGCAAGAGGCCAGCCTCCCTCTCCACCAACCGGGTGACAGTGCGCAGGGCCAGGGGCAGGGCCGTGTTAGTGTCACGATGATAGCGGGGCTGGCACACCTCTGCACTCGGTGAGAGCACGAACTGGGCCACACTGGGCATCCTAAGCAGGTTCCGCAGCTCCGTGGCCCGTGTGCGGATGGCTTCCACATCCTCCTCACTGTACACAGAGCTGGTGGCTGGGCTCTGACCCAGGGTCCTCATCTTTGACAGGAACAGAGAGACCCTGGAGGGTCAGGTGGGGGGAGATCAACCCCATTAGCTCACAGTGCCCCTCAAGCAGAAAGAAGTCTGTGTGATGGGGCCCTATCCCCAAAACACCTGGCTAGGCCAGCCTCAACTCAGTACCCAATACCCACTGGTGAGCCCACTCCCACGGCCCATGCTGCTGTTGGGCCAGAACCCTTGTGCTGCTGAGGCCAGTTCATGACATGGGCCCAGGGAAGACCACAGAAGCTTCCCTGTGGAGAGTGGGGCTCCCTCTCCCAGTACCCTGACTTGGTACCTGGGGATGAGGTCCTGGCTCCGGGAGGCCAACTTAGTCAGCGTGGTCATGAGCACCGTGACAACCTGAGGCGGACACCGGGGCAGATTGGCTGAGGGACGGGACTGGGTGACCTCAAACAGCAGGGCCTCCAGAGCCTCGAAGAAGTTGTTGATCAGCTCCACGGTGCATCGTCTGTCACAGGTCACTGACAGGTACTCGCCAATGGCCCACACCTAGGTCAGGAGAGAGGCTCAGCGTGCCAGGCCCTGCCTGGTGGAAGTGGAACCAGCTCTTCTGGTGCCACTTACCACACAGGTGAACATTTCTGCCCTGCTCTGGATGTTGCTCATGCTGCCCACAAGCTCCAGGAGCTCCCTCGCCAGCTCCAGCACCAGGGATGGCTTCTGCTTGCACAGGGCCAGGAACCAGGAACTCAGCACCCTGCCGAGAGCAAAGCTCACTGAGCATGATCTGTGAGGCTGAGGCCCCGGCTGAGAGCCCGAGCGGGGTGACAGCTGATGCTCATCCTGAGGGTCCCTGGTCCAGAGGGGCCACTGGCTCACTGGGGACAAGACTGATCTGTCCTGTCCTCGGTCCTAGGTTGAGTAGGGTTAGGACAAGCCTGTGTGGATCCAGCTTTTAGGACAGGACAGGACAGGAGTGTGGACAGGGGCCTGAGCTAGCCCTGAAGACAAGCGTGCATTCTGGGCCAAGGACAGGGTTGGGGCCAGGCTGACTTGATGGTAGCAGGAAAGGGGCAGCTGAGGAGGGGGACAGTGCTGAGCGTCCCATCCTGTGTTGGGCACTGGTGAACCCTGGTCAACTGCAAGGACCCACCTGAGCACGCGAGCCTTGTACTGTGGGACTTGGTAGAGCACATCGCTTCTCTCCAGGACCAGCAGTGCCAGCTGGTTGGTCAGGGCCTTGTCAGCAACCTGGTGCTCAAGGGCAAGGGACAGACTCTCAGTCCACCTTACCCCAAATGTCGCTGTCTTCTGCAGCCCTCCGGGAGATGAGGCCACCATGGGGTGAGCAATTGCCTGAGGGGCTACAAAACTGTTCATCCAACTCCTCAGCCTCTCCCTCTGGAGAACAGAAGCCCCACTTCTGTTCTATGGCTCCCCCTGGCGGCTCCGAAAGCTCAGGGCACATGTCACTGGGCCAAAGGTGCTTGTAGCCCCATGGCGGCCCAGCTTTGGCCTCATGGGGGCACAAGAAGCTCCCCAGGGGGCTGGGGATTTGGCTCAGCGGCATAAGTACCTGCCTTGCAAGCAGGCGGTCCTGAGTTCGATCCCCAGTACCAATAAAAATGAAAAAGACAAAAAAAAAAAAGAAGCTCCCCAGTTGCAGCCAGGCAGGAACCAGGGCCACAGGAACACCGAGTGCCTGGCACATACTCCTGTAGCACTAGCTTGGGTCCTCTGTCCTGAGGACGAGGCTGTGGTGCATGGTTCTTTCCCTCTCCCTGAACCTCTGGCAGCTATAGATAGTGCGTACAGCAAGCCAAAGGCAGTGTCATGATCCCTGCTCTGGCGAGGCCCCCTGGCGTGTGAGGCCTTCAGCACAAGGCCTGGCTAGCCAGCTCACCTGGGTCGCAGCAGAGAAGAAGGCCTCGAGCAGGGTCGGCACTGCTTGGGCACACTGGACCACCCGGGCACAGCTGGCCATGGGCTGCAGCAGCTGGTAGAGTGGCACGAGCCTGGGGACACAGAGCCACTGAGTGCCCTCCTATTCATCCACACAGCCACCAGTAGAGAAGGGAACAGCAGCACGGCCATCAGAGGTCCCCCTCAATGGCACTGCTCACTTACAGAGGGACAACATGCTCCCAAGGGGCTCAGTGGAACCCAGGAGACAGGCAGGCACGAGTTGTATGCTGAGTGCAGGGTCACATGCCACACCCAACTTCCTGGGTATCCTCATTTCTCCCTCTGTAAAGTTCTGCACAGGGTCTGAGGCCTGTGGAGTGGGTACTCTTCACCCAGCAGACTCAAGAACATGATCACAGATGTCTCCTGGCTAGGGGTGAGGACAATACTGTGTACCCAGGCCTCACTATGGGCCCCGTAGCAAGCCCCATAGCTAGTGATAGTGGCTTGGCTCACTGTCACCCCTATGATTCCGGCCCCAGGGCCCCAACCTCTCCGTGGAGCCGCTGGCCTTGGTTCGCAGCAGGTGCTGGAAAAGAGGCTGGAACTGCAGGTCCCGGAAGGCCTCCAGGCAGCCAGGTATCTTGAGGGAGGTGTCCCAGAGTGGCCTTTCAGATGGCATCTGTGATGACCTGTGGTTGGAACAAAGACCCAAGTCCCACTGGGACTCAGCTTCTGGCATCCAACCTGAAAGCATCTGCTGATCAGGGAGATGTCACTGCGACATCACAGTCCTTCAAGGCCAGGGAAGGACCTGGGTACAGAGCCTGTGAGAGGGCCCTGCCATATTCAGAGACAGCTTGAGAGGTGCAGGGATCAGGGGCAGTGAACACCTCAGATATGGGCTCTGCTGTGCAGCCACACCAATGCAGGTCTGGGCACGGTGACAAGAGCTGCCCACCTGAGCTGCAGGTCCAGGGCAGCTGTCAGGCAGGGCAGGTCCAGCAGGGAGTGCAGCATCTCCACAGCCGTCCCAGCATCCACCAGCGCAGGGAGGAGCGCCACGAGTTCGGCAGTGAGGGGTGGGCTGTTCCACGCCAGGAACTGCGGAGACAGCACGGCTCAGCCCACAGATGCCCGAGTCTCATCCTCATGTGGCCAAGGTAGGTGAGGACCTACTGGGATGCTTTTACAGCCTGCCTTTCCTTTGGATGGCATTCGACAGCAGCTTTCACTGCGTTATTTGATCATCCATCACAAAGACACTCAGGAAAAAGGGCTTCCAGGACTGCCCCAGAGGGACAAGAACAATAGGTAAGTTTGTTTGGAGCAAGAGGAAGGATTTTGAGGGGGATACATGGCAATGTATCTTTCACTATAATAAATATTTTCTAAATTTAAACACCTATGTTTCGAACACCCTTTGTATGTCGCTAAGTGGGTTTAAGAAGCCACATGGGAAAAAACATGCCAGACTGGCGCTAAAGGCTGAATGTGGTCCCTGAAGAGCCAGCCTACACAAACACTGCAGAGACAAGCCCCAGGTTGGGCAGAGTGCCTGCCACACCCACCGACACTCCTGCACCCCCCCACACACCCTGCATCCCACCCCTACCTGAGTCCCAGAGGACAACCACACGTACCTTGAAGAGGTTGGGAAAGCTCAGCTTCAGAAGGCCAAGGAGGTGTGGGTCGAACAGGGGAAGGTTGTCCCGGCAGAACCGGGTGACTTCGAAGGCCAGCGTGGTGCTATAGAAGCGTTCAGAAGGGAGCCTGGTGAAGAGGTGCTGGTAGATGGCATCCGAGTCCACAGCAGCTGCAGCCCCTGCAAGCCAGGTGCCAGACCATCAGGGAAGGAGGCAGGAAACCCTGCTGTAGAAACTTCTTTTTTTTTGCAGTACTGGGGATTGAACCCAGGTCTTTACACAGAGCCACATCCTAGCCCTTTATGTTTTGAGACAGGACCTCTCTAAGTCACTAACTTGCCCAAGCTGGTCTTGAACTTGAGATCCTACTGTTTCAGCCTCCCAGAGTATTTGGATTACAGGCATGTTCCCACATGTGTGACAACACGCCTCTGCTGCTTGTTAAGCCTCTGTCCCTGGTGTCTTGGCTAAGTCCCCATGGCTATCTGTGCCTCTAGGATACCACAAACCTCTAGAAATGTCTCAGACAGGAAAAACTACTTGAGCAGGTGCCCTAGGAGCACAGACCTGCGAAGCATGCTTAGGAAGGTGCTGGCTCCTTCACTTTTTAAGTTACCTGGGTTACAGATAGCAGGGAGCATTTTCAGCCTGACATAAAGTTGACCACGTTTTGTTTTCCTGTGTAAAGTGTGAAGGTAATAACTGCCCAGAGCTAACAGCACTGGGAGAGGTGACCCCTAAAACTATGGCCGGCGTGCTCCCTCAGGAGCAGTTCTGCCTGTTGACTGGACCCGCCCTGCACGGCAAGCTCACCATGGTTGAGGAAGAACTGGGCGAGCGGCAGCAGCGCCCGCTCGCTGCCTGCGTCTGTGCCCAGCTGCCCATACAGGGCCTTGAGGCAGGAGAGGCTGCGATACAGGAAGGAGGGGTCCTGCCGACATACTGTGTCCAGCACCCGCACGGCTTCCACCAGGCACTGTGGGGACAGGGCCAGCATCAGAGGGGCGGAGCACTGACCTATCCCTGCCACCCCGCCCTGGCCACTTACTGCTTTCTGCAAGTCGGAGTCCCCCTTCCTCAGGGCTCCTGGGGGCAGGAAGAAGTCAGCTGCCGCTCTCTGCCCAGGTCCCAAAGAGCCCCATGAAACCTGTTCTGGAAACTGGAGGTGGGGACAGGGCGAGGCAGGATGGGAGAGGACACGAGGAGGGTCTGGGTGTGCACAGGATGTGGCAGGACGCAGTGGGGCCTGTGAGTAGGGGTACAGGTCTGGTCTGCTGCTGGGATCATCCTGGGAAATAAGGCCTCTGTCCTAAATGAGCTACTAGGAACTTTTCCCACCTCCAAGTAGGGGCCTGCTCAGGTCCCACCTCGTGGGGTGGATCTGGGGCACAGCACCCCGTGCCGGCCTGGGGACTTACGTCGGTTACTCTGCTCGATGAGGCGCTGGCAGTACTCGAAGGCCACTTTCCTCAGACGCTCCTGCGGGAGCAGCTGGCGGCCAGCAGAGGCAGCAGAGAGCACAGAGAGAGTGGAGCCCTCCAGCTCTGACCTGTCCTCTGTGGGGGAAGAGGGGCTCAGCAGGGCAGAGTGTGACCCTATAGCCAGCCATCCCACGGAGTGACAGGAAGGAAACTGGACCCGCTGCAGCCACATTGCCAGACTGCACAGGGCCCTGGGGCCCACTGTGCCTGGCAGCTCTTGCCCCAATGTGGACCTTAAATACAGTTCCCCCAGAAGTCCATGGGATCTGGGCTTTTCCTATAAACCAAGAGTTTGGTGATGAGATGGCAGTCAGTGATACTGTCTCAAACAGCTCACAGACATCTGCCTCCAACATCCCATCTGTGCACACCATGGGAGGGTCACCAGCATGTCACATCTAAAGAGGCCTCGGCTGCAGACTGAGGCTCCAGCTTGGCCAGTGGTGCAGTGAGGTCCTCAGCTCAGTCCTGAGCTGCAGGCTTTTGCTGCCGGCCTCCCCAGGTCACCACTCATCTATGTCGCCCATGGTGACCTGTACTCTACCCTGGGCACAGCTGCCTCCTACCCTGTGATCTGGCGCACCTGCATCCGCGGTGCCTGGGCCCTCGGGGCTGCTGAGCAGTAGCCACGTCTGCAGCATGGAGAAGGCCTGCACATTCAACCACTGGTCCTCCGTAAAGTGCTGGCCCATGGACAGCACTGTGAAGAAGTCCGAGGCCACTGCCCCATCCAACTCAGTGATGGGGCCCGACTATGGGAGGAAAGAGAGGCAGGGCTGAAGCATACTGGGGCCCAGGCTGACAGGCTCGATGGATACTCAGGAGGTTGGAGGGGTCCATGGTTCAGTATGTCTCAGGGATGGGAGCCCAGAGACCAGTACCTCCTGCCCTGTCTGTTCCCTTCCAGATCCAGGGGGCAAGGCCACCCAGGACATGAAGACAGCATATCAACCCCAGAACATATGTCAGAGGCATGCTCTGCATCCAACCAGGTCATGAGTGTCAACCACACACAGCACCAGGGCCACACAGCAATGAGGGTACCACATGGAAGGTCAAGAGGCATCAATGGGAAGCTGCTGGGTGGGGCGCAGAACCATCCTGGGAAGGGAAGTCAGGGATTTCTGTTCCCGAGGTCTGGAAGCAGCCTGACTCACCTGCCGTGCCCTGGGTGTGGAGAAGAAGCCCCCCGAATGTGAGGTGCCCTGCTGGACGCGGGCATAGCGCAGCCAGTCTACTAGCCGCTTGCTGAGCAGGCTGGCCTGGTCTGTGGGGGTGAGGGGAGACAGGGGTCCCTTTGAGGGAAACAGTTAAACCCCACAGAGTCCCAAGTCCCACACAGCAAACCAAGTCTTGTGGAACCCCATGTCCAAGGTCTTCCCTGGACACCATCTGACCAGGGGACCAGCCACCCCTCCCAAGGAATACTAGCAGGAAGGAGCCAGGAGAGGGGACCCTACATGGTGAAGGGCCTTGGTACCTTCCTGGAGGGTCCCTGGGGCAAGACCCACGACCCTGGACAGCACGGGCAAGAGGGGCCTGAGGCTGGGGCCCTCAGGCTGCCGGCTCTCCAGGATGGCGAAGATGCGCTGGTTCACACTTCTGACCTCTTCTCTCCTGTCGCCCTTCAAATCAAACACAAGGCACTGACTCGGCCCATGTGCCATAGTGACACCCTGCTTCACAAGTCTGCAGGAAGCTTCCTGAGGAACACCTATCCCTGTTCCTGGTGCCACCCTTAGGGGAAGGTTCCAGGACACACCAGGCCCGTGATGAGGAATCTGGGCTCAGCTTAGCTCTGATGTGTCTGTCACTCTTCTTCCAGGGCACTGTCATTCTAGGGCACCTGCTCATGCAACCAGTCACGCATATGCACTCACAGCAGGTAAGCTGTCTAACTGTGACCATTCGATGTCCTCAAGGAGAGAGCCTTGTGGCTCTCTCCCTGAACCTTCACATCACTAGCGTATGTCCTTAAAGTCAAGCCCATGAAATGGAACATTAGTAACAGATAAGATGTCAAAGCTGCATGTGTACACGGCTCCCCAGAGAGCCACACAGCAGCCATGAGGGTTACCCCTGGTATCCGGCTGGGTTCTGAATATTGCTATCTACTCAGGGAAACATTTCCTGAGGGAAAGGGGCGGATTCCAGGCTAGAGAAGGAAATGAACGAGAAGGCTGGGTCACCTTGCACCAGCAGTGAGGCAGTGGCCACAGCACTGGCAGGTCACTTAGGGATCCGGCTGTGCTGTCTGCAGAGGCTCAGGGTGTCTGGCATGAAAGTACAGCACCAGTCAGCGTCACAGCAGCAAGGAGCCCCCAGCACACTACCATCTGACATTCATCCCAACACCAAGCCAAGAGCAGGAGCAGCTGCTCATGACTCAAAGAACTGCAGGGTGGAACTTAGCCTCTGCCTCCACCTGCTCTGCTGAGAAGCCCAAGTGCAGGGCAACAACGAAGCTTCTGCCCCACAGGCCACTGGCCCAGCCCCGGGGTGCTCTCTCACACCCTGGTCACCCTGCATGGCCCCTGCCGCAGTGCTGAGGGCACGCTGTGCAGAAGCTGCCTCTGCAGGAATGGAGAAACTTCCTGGCCTGGATATGACTGAGCCTCTCTGAGGAGGACAGATGGACAGGCCAGGGACTACAGGAAACAGGCCTGATCTCTGTCCATGAGCAGCTGCCAGGAGGGCAAGTCCCTGTCTGAGGCAAATGCAGCAAAGCAGGCAAAAATGTGCTACACCTGAACATCATGTTCCTAAATGATTCAGGAAGCAGGGGACAGTGAAGGGACAGAAGCAGGCGTTCCTCACGCTGCTCTTTACTATCACACCTGTGAAGGCAGGCATGGCAGGACCTCAGGCTGCTGGTCAGTGAGCACCCTCCTGGTCACAAAATAGCCAAGTTACCCTGGTCCTTCTGGGAACAGGCATGGTGTGGACAGGTCCTTCAGGGAAGACCCTGGCTTACGGCCAAGGATACTTCTCCTCAGGGAAACCCCTGTCTGGTCCCTGTCAGAGCAGCATGGAGTTGACTGGGAACGCTGGAAAGCAGACCACAGCCACCATTCCCTTAGCCTCACCAATACCACCACTGTGTGTGTCTAGGGATGTCACAGCCCAAACTCCACGGCCTAACAACCCTCTGCAGAGTCCCAAGAAGGCACTTCCAAGGAGGCATGGAGGAAGCAGGCAGTCACAGGTTGTTTTAGAATCATCTGAGCACTGCGGTCCCACGTATGGAGCAGGTCCACAGAAAGCCTGGGATCCTCCAGGGCTCCAGGATAACCAGGGCAGGACAGCCACTCTGCACAGTAGACAACCGTGTTACCTGGGCTAGGAGCACAGACGCCACCAGGCTCAGCTGATGGGGGTTCTGCATGTGATCACAGGACAGAGTCAGGGCACTGAAGGGTGACATCTCTCTCAGGATGGCAGCACACAGGACCTGGACCTGCTCAGAGCACGTGGACAAGGACAGAGTGGCCTGCAGCAGATCCACACATGTCTTCTCCAGCCTGGAGAGCGAGACCCAGGTGGGCCACAGGTCAATGCCGGTGGGAGGGAGGCCAGCCTGGGAGCATGAGGCAGGGAACAGAATGTTTCCCTGTGAGGACCTGGGCCCCCAGTCTAAGTAACAGAGGCTCAGATGCCACAGGGCACTGGCATCAGCCTCTGGCCAGGACTCACCCTGCAACTCACCTGCGGGCATACTTGGTGGCCGAGACGATGAGGAAGAGTCTTTGCAGGGCATCCACAGTGGCTGGTCCCAGGTCCTCCTGCAGCAGCTTGCTGACCCGGGAGCAGAACCTCTGCAGCTCCTCGTCCTGGATCTCCCTGTGCAAGAAAAAGGGGTCAGGATCTAAGCAGGGACCCAGTCACTTCCTGTCCCGCCCCCCGAGGAGGTCTCCACCTAGCTGTGTCAGGAGCTGGGGGGCCACTGTTCCCCCAGCCAAGGACACCTTTGAGGTCAGTTCAGGGAACACTGAGACTGAAACTCATCACTCTTAAGTTCACTACAATTCTTGTAGAGACGTCACCCATTCCAATTCTGTTATTCCAGAAGCAGAACTAAAATTATTTTTAAGAATTTCTTTCAGACTGGATGTGATGGCACAAGACTGCCTCAGGAGGCTGAGGCTGGAGGATTACTGTGAGTTTCAGGCTAGCTTAGACTATATAGTGAGTTCAAAGCCATCCTGAATTATGTAAGAGCTGCTTGAGCTCAGGAATTGGTGAGAAAGCGGACCAACTTTTTAACTGGGATCACGATGCTGAACCCCAAATGCTAAATGAGACTAAGAAGCAACAAACTGGCTTGCACGTTGTAATTATTACTGCCAGCATAGACGTGCTTTGCATCCCAGTGCAACCCCTTAAATATGCCGTCCAGACTTCAGGCTTCTCACCTGCAGCCTGCCCTACTCTCCCACAGTTCCCCACTGCCCCAGAGCCACTCCTGCCCACCCTCCTGTGGCTCCCAGGGCTCACATCCTCTTCCTTCAACTGTTAGGCCCTGTTTCTCTGTGAGATTAAGCAAAGTCGAGACCTTGCTGTGAATCACACGCATTGCCTACCTTTATTTACTACTCAGTCCGGACATGTTTCTGATTCCCTTCTCCACCCTTATTTCCCATACCAAGGAAACTGAAATTTCCTGACTCTCAAACCTTGTTACTCCTATCGAAAGCGCCCTCAGAAATCGCAGCTTGAAGTAAATGGAAACTGGTTAGGTCCTGATGTTATTGCCCGTCCAAACCCTATCAAAGAGCTGTTATAAAACGTGAACTTGGAATTACGTTCTGTGAGGTTTTGTGTCTTGCAGCTAGGTCACATTAGGAGTGGGATGATTTTTTTATTTAATGCAGACATCAATTCGGTATCTGCACACACACCTGCTAATAAAGGCACGGTGTACTGTGCTGGACAGGAGAGTGTGTGGCACCTCCACCAAAAACTTCCCTAAGAGATTCTCAGGTTACTTTGCCCAAAGTTTAGTTTTGGTCAAACACTTCAGCCTTTAGTTTGCCCCAAGACCTTGCTCACTACAACCTCTGGGACCTCGGCCACTCTGATCTTTCCCACCAACTGGGGCAGCTCTCAATCATGATTGAGTTGGTTTACCAAAGACCTTGAGGTTTCAGCTGTATTTCCTTCCTTAAATGAGTGACACCAAATCTTGGCCGCCTTCACCGAAAGGGGCCACAGACTAGTTAAAGAAGGTCCAGAGCCAGTCTGGGACCAGAAGGCAGTTGCTCTACGTGACATCCCTCGCAGGCCCTCAAATCCCAGAACAGGGTCGAGCTCCGGGACCAGCTCCCGCTACTCTGAACCTTCGGTGCTTCCTGCAGGAACTCGGCTCCTGCTCAATGGTCTCCTCCCCCATCCTAGCAGCCCCGGGTCGGCGGCTGCCCCGCCCCACCCCGTTCTCTGGAGCCAACCAGCGGGGCCGCAACAAATCGACACGCCACGCTCGGGGCAGAGGCTAGGGGGGCTGCCGCGCACCTGGCTTGGTGGAGCAGACTCTCCGCGCCGGCCGAGAACATCTCCCCGCCACGTTGATGCCTAGCTCACAACTGGGTTGGCCACTTAAGCGTGCGACTTCCGGGGTCGCGTTAAATGGTGCATCACGTGAGCTGGGCGTACCTCGGTGGGTGTTGGTGGAAAGGCCGCCGGCCAATTGACTTTGGCGCAGAGCATCTTGGGGCGGGACCGGAAGCGCCTGGTTTGTGGTGGGTCCTCGGAACCTTGGGTCCCCGGAACCTAGTTCCCCAGGACTCCGGACGCCGGAACAGCTTGGGGACGAGTCTCGCGTGGCAAGTGTCTTGGCTCGAAAGTGACCCTGAAAGTTTATCCTATTCTGGTTTCTGTTTCACGACAGGATCCGCCCGGTGCGGAGTGTGGCTGGAAAGCAGCAGCGCACTGACTGCGACTTGCAGGCTGCAACAAGAGTCCGGGCATTTTCCGAGGCAGCTACAGCAACTGTTTTTGAGATGCAAGTGACATTTGAAGCTAAGGCCTCCTGACTGAACACCCCCGACCTCACCCTCCGTTTTTTAAAATTTTGAGACAGTGTCTATGTCCCTAGGTTGCTCGGCTGGGCATGAACTTGGGATTCTCTTGTCTCAGCCTCCCAGAGTGCTGAGATTACTGGAGTGCACCAATGCTTCTGGCTAGCAATGTTTGGTTTAAACCTTCCTTTAGCGTATGTCATCGGCCACACGGACTGCTTTAAGAATCATTCAAACCCCATCATATTCATAGGATGTCGCTGTGTTTATCAGATGAGGCACCAAACTGAGTTCTACATGCGTTGGATGCCTGGGTTGTGCTGAGCCCTGGCGATAGAATTCCACCTGCAGAGTGTGTGCCACACTGGACATTCCAGCTGCCACAACCCACATAACACGCTCCGCCGCCTGCATTGAGCGATGGTACAAAAGGGAGTCCTCTCTAGGGCCCTGGGGTCTGAGATGGGCTGAAGGCTTCGGAGGGGCCGCCCAGGCACAAGACGGAGGGTAGGATAACCGCCTGCCTCCTGTGGCCACAAGGTGGAGGATGGGTGGGAAGGGAGGATGTGCTGATGAGGAATGGAGTGGACAGATCCATTTACCATTCAGAGGTGCGATTTGTAGGCCCTGGTGATCAGTGGATTTGGGGATTGAAGAAATGGAAAAAATCAAGGACAACAGCAGGTTTCTATTGGTCACAATAGAAACTCGGTATGGGAGCAGAAAAGGAAATTTGTGGAGATTTGGGGTGGGGAGACAACGGGGAAGGGTAAGGGAAATAAAATTGATTAAGATGTGATACTCTTATGTATCAGTTCCCCAAGGTGAATGTAATTATTATGTATCGAAAATATGTTCCTATTTTAAAAACGAAGTTTGCACAGTCATTCTTTTAATGAGCATCTGTGAGCTCTGGCTGGGTCAGGAAGTCTTGGGTGAGGCAGCAGAGTAGTATAAGTGGGGGTGTGACGTTTTTTGAGGTAGGGAGAGCAGGAAGGGATAAACATTGAGAAGACACCACGGTGGGAGATGAGGAGAGGGGCTGAGGCCTGGGAAATACCTGGGCAGGTTCCACACATGCTTTTGAGATGTCCTGGCAGCGTCCTGGTAGCTACTTGAGATGTCGCTGGTTCTTTGGGGTTTTTTTTTTTTGTTTGTTTGTTTGTTTGTTTTTTTGGTCTTTTCATTTTTTTTTATGGGTACCAGGGATCGAACTCACGACTGCCTGCTTGCAAGGCAGGCGCTTATGCCACTGAGCTAAATCCCCAGCCCCTGAGATGTTGCTGGTGATAAGGAGAGACGGGAGCCAGCTGCCAAGCAAGGCCAAGTGCTGGGGGTTACCCATAGAACCCTGAGGAGCCCCATATTGTGGAAGGGAACTGGTAGAGAGCACAATCTGTGGGAAGCCTTCTGTTTAAGGTTTGTTAAGACCTACTTGTAGTACAATGCTCAAATCTTAAATGAGCTCAGCAAGTTTTTACAGTTCCATCAGTAAGCATATTAACTGGCTCAGCTCGTGGGGGACCAATTTCCATCTAGATTATTGGCAATTCCCTGGTGGCACCGAGTGTCAATGCCCACCATCATCCTGATTCCCCCAGTGGCAACTAGTATCCTCTGTCCACACTCCATGCAGGACTTTGCCTGTCATGTTCTCTTATCAATATCTGTTTCCAAATTTTATAAATAATCACAAGACACACAGTCCTGTGTCTTTTACAGGGACGTGCACTTGTTTCTCTGGTACATACCCAGTTCCCCAGGCCTCTCACTTTTGAGAACCGTGTTCTAGTGATTGATCAATCTCTTTCTATCCCTCCAAACATTACGGGATGATATTGGACCTGTTACAAAACTTACATTTGTGTAAGATGTTATCTTAAGATGTTATTAATGAAAAAGTCCTACTCAAAAACAGAATTTTAAAAAATTAAAGATAAAAATTATGCTAATTAGTCATTTCCTAGAGGAAATACCATTATTTCCACTCACACGTGTCACTTGGCTAAAATCCTAAACTAATGAGTATGTTAATGTTACATTAGTGCTTGCAGTTAGAATCTTACATGGGAAATGGAGCCACCCATAGGAAGACCAGGAGGTGTACAAAGTTCAGTCATCACTGTGGACAGCTATAGTCTGAAAAATGTGATCTGTTAGCTGAATGACAATGGGTCATGTGCACAAACGTCACAAGACCTTAACAGAAGACAGAACTCTGGAAAACACATTTTCATAAAGGCTCAGTCAGCTACAGGCAACCTGCAGCAGAAGCACCCCATGTCTCATTCCCCATCTGGGGGACCTCAGGAGAGGAGGGGGCCGGCTTCACTGGAGGTGACGCACAGAGGACTTGGCCAGGACCTGATGGCAGGTTGGAATCGAATCCTATGGTTGCAATGGGACCTGTTAGTCAATGCCAGCTATGTCACCCTGCTGACCTCCATCTGCCCCACCACCTAGAATGAGCAAGGCTCTGGTGGGAACACACAGGCAAGATTCAGAGTTGTCCCTTAAGTGCTGAGGGACCCACATATGCCCAGTGCCCCATGGGTACCCTGTGCCCTCTGCACTGAGGCAGGGGACAGCATGGCTGGCTCCTCCTTGACCATATCAGAGGAGCAGGTTGTGCTCAGAGGACTCATGGAGTCCCCACCAAGTCATGGGCACCTTCCCAGAAGCCCAAAGCTGAGGGTACAAGGGAGGAAGACAGCCCCCAAGAAGTTATTCTTCAGCCTCCGGCACTCTGGGGTAGGGCGAGGCTCCCTCACTGCAGGGAGAAGGGGAGTTGTGTCCAGACTGTCTGTCCATCCATTTGTCCCTCCCCTGGCACACACTTGCAAGGACCACTTGGCACCTTGGGGTCATTTCTTTAATATATAATTTTATTTCTGGTTATAGAAACAAATGCTAAGAGGAGAAACAAAACTTCCCCATCCACATACAACAATTTAATAGATAGAAGAACAGTTAAAGTAAATGAAAACAAAAAGTAGAAATTTTAAACTTTGTTATAGTTTTAAAACATTAACGTCTGGTACAATTAGAAATCACATTCAGATCTCAAACTTTTAAAAAAAAAAGTATGGCTCCGTAATAAAAAAATACTGTATCCCATTTGAAATGAAAACCCAGGCAAGCTACTCCAGACGTGGGTCCGAGGGCTCTCCTGACTCCAGCGCTTCTGCCCATGGGGACCTTTCCCCCATGGATGTGGGACACATCCCAAGCTCAAGAACTGGAATTCCCACTTTACAGGATACCACTGCTTTTTAAAGCACTGATTATTAAACGTATTGTGAAAATACTTTAGACAGCCACTGTAAAAAAAAAAAAAAAAACCACACACACATACACACACACACACACACACACACACACACACACACACCCCGAACAACACCCACCCCCCCATCCAATTATTTTTACAGGCGAATTATCATTCAGGTAAGAAAAAACAATCTCCAAATTGGCTTTAACCCTTCCCTCCCATGCTGAGTCTAAGGGAAGACCCAGGCAATTGTCTCTCCTCCCCTCTCTGCCACTTTTTCCTGCAACAGGAACCAAACCATGTAAGTTAAGCTATATTAGGAATCCAAAAATGCCTCCCGTGGAGTTAGCAAAGAAGAGAGAGAAGGACCAAACTTAAAATGTTTGATTTTAAAACCTATTTTTACTGACTATAAAAAAAATCTGGACCAGCTAACTCAGACATTCAGAGGCTACAGGCAGTTTGAATCCATAGCCAGAGAAGATAGCAAAAGCAAAGAATCTACCTTCAAGCCACAGGGCTCCTCCCAACGCAGCCAACCCACAAGGGAATGGGATAGTGCTAGACATTTGGGTAAGTGCTATAACTGTGGGGAAGAAAACCCACAGAGGGATGGATGGGTGTGTCCAGCCATTCAGACGCTGTCCCCACTCTCTTGGGCCACTGTTCGGACTAATCCAGGAACAGATCCCCAGGTAAAGAGTAAAAAGCAGGCCTCCACTGATTCTCCCCTGACTCTTCAAGTGGGAAAGGAGCGAGGACGAGAGGCCTTGGCACTCTCTCCAGGTGTCCCTGGCAGCCTCTGGGCAACTATAACCCAAAGGTCATGACCTGAGGATGTTGCTGGCTCGTAGGGACCTTGAGGTCTCATGTGCCAGCGTCCGGCTGCTTGACCCAAGGGCAGAGGTCACCTGCACTTGTCCTGGGCCCCAGTGTCTCCCCACACTTTCATAGTTGATAAAAGAGGCAGGTGCAAAGAATGAATAAGAGCTTTAAGTGGAAGTTCTCCCTGCAGAGAAGAGGCTGCCTAAAAGCCACAGCCCTCTTAACTCTGCTACAATACTGAGCAGCCCAACCACCTACCAGTCTGCATAAAAAGAAGCTAACAAATCCCCAAGGCTCACCCAGCAAAAGAAGGAATCTTCATTTTAGTGTGGCACAAGAGTACACTGGGCGTTCCCATTGGGGTGGTAGGCTGGGCTTTGTAGTGGAACTCAGTCTTTCTCTGGGCCATGATATGAGCAGTAGTGACCTCCTGCTCCAACCTCTTTCTTGTCCTTGGATGTTTTGTCCTGAGGACCTTCCTGCCACCTCAGGGGAATGCCATCCACTTCACATGTCCAGGAAGCACCTCTGTGGGGCAGCCCTGCCTCGTCACTGCACCCTAAACCCTCAGGATGTAGTTTTGAATGTCCCCTTCAGCAGCAGAGCTGGGGCCTGTAAATTGGCCCCAATCCTGCCAGGAGAAGAGCAGCCAGGCAGAGTGCCTACCTGTGGCTGCAGGTATGGTAAATGAGCTGCTCACATGACTTCTGTTTATGAACCTAAGTGCCAAACCATCTTTCCCAAATGAAGTCAGTGAAATAGGCCAGTATTTATTTCATTTCAGAGAGAACATCCATAGAAATCTAACAAAATCCCACTCTGCCAAGCAGCTATGACCAGGAAGGACAGAGGAGAGACAGCAGGTCCCAAATTGACAAACCCTTCTCCATCCCACATTCAAGACCATTTGGACCTCAGGCTGCAGCAGGAAAGGGGTGCCTGCCAGGCACCTGTGCCAACCCCTGGCCCAGGCACCAGTGGAGTAGCTTTTGGTATTCAGAGCAGATGCCAGGGGCAGATGTCCTGCCCCAGACCTGAGCAAGAAGAGCAAGCACAATGACGACGGGGAGTGTCCTGCACACTCAGGAAACCCCAGTGTGAAAAACGAGACCGAGAAAGAACTTGTGAAGTAGAAGGGAGCTGCAGAGGACAGGAGTGCACTGTGGAAAGTGAAGCCAGAAACTGGCAGGGGACCTGTTATATTCTACATTCTGCCTTCACCTCAAAGAACCAAAGCACGTGAAGGGAAACCTCCAGAGCTAAGTCCGAGGACTCTATCTTCATAGCAGCAATTTGAACAATCCTTATTATTCGTATTAAATAATATTGCTTCTAGGCAGAGGTATTCTAGAGGAGGCCAGAGACCAGGCTGCAGCGAACACATTCCCATCTGAAGCCAGCAGCCCGTGGTGGGGACTCTCCTGAGCTCACGAGGCTCTTCCCACTAAGACAGCCTTACAGCCACTTTGCACACTCACTCTGGAGCAAGTGCTGTGCACAGCATGGGAACACTGTCCCGGTGCAGGTGTGCAGGACAGCCAAGGGCACCCGCCCCAGGGATGGCCGCGTCCCTCAGAGCACATGAAGCCACTTGAGGGCAAAGTGGAATTTGAGGCTTTTGAAGAAAGGCAGTGTCCCCTCCCACGAACTGTATTTGTTTCTAGTCTCTAAAAGCTATGGGGAAATGCTTTCTCTTCTAACATTCTCTCACATTCAGCCAAGTTCTTGTGTTTCCAGTGAGGTCTGTTCACTGTCTTCAGGAAGGAGGACACCAGCTCAGAAGCTCGAGGGCAGCTTTCTCTTCCTCCTCCTACACTGAGTCACCCCGAGTATAACTTTCTACCTACCAGGACCCGCCCCAGGCTCTCTGGAGAGTCCCCACTCATACAGAAGGTCCCTGGAGGCCCCCCGTTTCATTGGAAAGACAAATGATAGCTGAGTGACACCTGTGATCTCAAAGCAAGCTGTCACCAGGCCTGCTAAGGGCAGGAAAGAGCCCAGGTGCAGGTACCAAGGTCTCATCTCATCTCAGCTTCGTCCTTCAAGGGAACGGGTGGTGTGGAGGGCAGGGAAACACCCATCCCAGCCCAGGTAAAGCCCATCTGCTCTCAATGAGAGACACAAAAAAAAAACATGACCTGGGATCATGCAACACCGATCCGAGCAAAGGAGCAGTTCATTTCCACCTAACAAAAAGGACAAATAGACGGCTCTCTGGAAGGGTCAAACCAGGCCTCAGGAAGGAGGCTGAAGACTGTGTGGTCTCAACCCCCACTTCCCAGTGCTGGCCCCAGATACTTTCCACAGGGAACATGGGAACCTCTTAGGGAGGATCCTGGGACAAACCAATGTCCTGGAGGCTGGCAGCATGGTCCTGACTACAGGGAGGCCTTGTACTGCATCACTTCTGAGGATTTGGGAAGGAGAAGAGCATATTGGAGTTCCTCAAAAGTGGGGGCTACAGACTCCCCACACAAGGCAGCAAGCTGGAACTTCACCCAGGAGGCAAGGTGCCGACACAGTGAAGCTGCATGCTCTCCTCCGGACACTGGGCCAGTGCCCGGGGCATCCCTGTGCTCCCTCGGCTGTGGTCAGTGCCGCAGTGGCAGGGAGCCCTGCTCATATCTACACTACATAGCTGATCTTGGTGGGATGCACCCAACCATTTAAAAATGGTGACTTCTGCCACAGACGCTGTTCTGCATCTGTAAGTGTGGTGATGGCAGAGCAGAGAGCACTGGAGGACAGTGGACACCAGTCTTCATCTATAGCCCATTAGATGAGCTGTGGTGGTGGTGCCCGCCCTGGTTTCCTCTCCACCTCAGGCCATGCAGTGCCAGGGACCCTGAGTGACCCAGCAGGTCCTCGGGATTCACAGCCACAGTGATGCTGGCCCTGTACCAGAACCATGGCTGGCCAGTTCTCCCTCAGCTACGAGGAGGGCTGCTAGGGTCCTTGCCTGTGGAGGGTCATGGGCATCCTGAGCCTGGTGTCAGCTCTCCTAGAACCTACCTGGGTTCTGGCCCTGTGGAGGCTCGGCACATACCAGGGAGCCCTCTGACCAGGAGTTAAAGCTTTCGGCTCCAGAGTGAGTTCCAACACAAGCCAGGTGTGCTGCCTGGTGGGCGACCAGAGACCCTCAAAACACTCATCCTACATCTCCAGAGAAGTCCTCCCAAGCAAGAGCCTCTGCCCCCAACTGTCTGCCCTAAACCAGAAGGTCCTCCCTTCATCCCTCTCCCTAGTTGGGCCTGTCTGCATCCTCCCCAACTCCTTCCCCATCTCTTCCCCTGGTACCACGACCAACATCACCAACAGAGGACAGCGGCCAGAATGTCCCAGATGCCAGGACAGCAAAGCGGTTGGAGCCAGACTGATGGGACTCTGCATCCTGGGCACAGAAGAGGTCCAAGGAAGGGAAAGAAACAAGAGACCATAATGTCCCATCTTACACAATTCCTCAGACCCACTCACCCTGACCCACACACACTCCAACCACACAAGAGACAGCGTTTACACAAGGGGAATGATGGAAATTGTTGGTGTAAAGAGCCACTACTCCATGGCACCATCTGGTGAGGGCACAGTCAGCTACTGACACCCACCCCCAATTCTCTGAAACTCCACCATGGCCCACAGATGCCAACTTCAGAACAGAGCTTATTTCCCATTCAAGTTTAGTGCCATAGAAATGGGTTTGGGGGGTGGGGTTTTAAAAAGCAATGGGAGAGGGATTTTCCCCAGTGAGGCAGAAGTGCCAGCAGATACAGCTCAGGGCTGTCCCACTGCTCACTGGTCCTATCCCAGCTCTGCTGCGGCCTGCCTTCCGGCCCTACCTTGGAGTCACCATGAAAGCCATACCCTCCATTAAAGTGGCGCGTGTCCTGCCAGCTCCTGGCTCTCGTGAACAGGCTACCACTCCTCGGTGCTGCCCAGGACTCAATCTCTGTGAGGCTTTTCCATCAGACCCAGGGCAGGGGAAGCTGTCTGCTGGTGAGAGGCTGTGATGCCAAAGGTAGGTGTGCCTTCAGGAGCTTTGTGTCCACTATGCCTTTGTTCCTGGAGTGAGCCACCTCCAGAAGCCACAAAGAGGGACCAGCTGCCTGGAGGCCAACTTCTAAGCAGATGTGGCAATGTTTCCTGAAAGTATCCTTGAGGAGGAGCCAGGACAAGAGGCTCCCATTCCAACCCCTCCTGTGTTGGGCTCAAAGCAAGCTGTTGGTCAGGAGGCACAGATGGGCTTCCCTAAGGGACCTGGGGCCCTTGATACATCCTGTCCTTTGGTTCTCACCACATTGCAATCACGCCAGTGACATTGGCACAGGGCTTCCCGCTGCTCCCTGAGGAGGGTTTCCTTCCTGCTGACTCAAGGCCCCAAGCCTGAGGCAGAAGAAACAGTTCCAATTTCAAACAGTAGGTGAATCTGAGGTGGTTAAGAAACTTGAATGTGGCTGGAAAGAATGTGAGCAGATTGTGTCCCACTGGCCCATGAGCATCAGGACATTGGTGCTGCCAGGCTTGGGGCCTGCCCCTCCACTGCCTTCCAGTGATGGGCACATGAACGTCCTCCCTGCCAAGCAGGTGACCGGCTCCTGCCCCAAGCACCAGCTGCCATATTTTCTGGGCCTGTGATGTGGCCCCTCCACCCACAGCACTTTCATTTGATGCTAATGTGGGAGCCACTGATCCTTCTTGAAGTTATCCAACAGGCCCATGGATTTTTGGCTCCAATCTAGGATAGGCCTATATGCTATGTTTTAACACAGCAAGAACCACTTGGGTTTCAAAGCCAAACCAGACACTCCCCCACCCCACCCCAATTAATGCCAATATTTTCTCTGCCATTTTGGGGGAAAAAAAGACACCTAAAAACAACTTGCAGTTTGGCAGTTCCTGTCTTTCTCTGACCTATTCCCGATTTAGAATAGGAATTTGTTCCTGTTCCGTCTCCCACAGAAGAGGCCTCGGTCTGTATACAGCTGCATTTCTGTTGGTTTACCCAGGGTCACAGGCTGCTGCCTTGGCAAAGCTCTGAAGCCAGGACGTGGGGTGCAGTGCTTCTTGTCACAGGTGGGCATCTTGCTGGGTTCCTGAGGTGCTGGGGCTTGATCTTCTTCCATACCCTTGACCAAAGGGCCATGGAGGGATGATGGTGCAGGAGAAGGAAATAAACACTCAAAATCCCCAGAATCATACAATCAGTTGTCTGAATTTGTTTATGTGTTTTTGCTTTAAACCTTGGGAGGACAGGAGATAAATGGACAGGACGAGTGTTCTGGTGTGGCGGCCGAGGAGTGGGCAGTTACAGGATTTCCCGCCCGTTTGTCCGGGTGCAGCTGTCTGCTCCACTTGGGCTCCTGTGGTGTGAGTCCCACTCCACCCTTGTGCATGCATACGGGTAACTTCACTCCCCCGTGCCTGGGCCCTGGGGGCCGGCAGCTGCCATCGCCCCGGCCTGTGTGGTCGCTGTCCCACCAGGCTCTTCTACCCGGGACCGTTTGACTTCGGGCTCCCCACTGGAAGAGGCTGAGGTGGCAGTAGAGGTGGCCACGGTTGGAGTGGCACTGGTGGCTGCTGTGACCACTGCTGCTGGCTCCTCAGGTCCCACCTCACATACCCGAGTGACCACCACTGGCGTGGACGAACTCGCCTGGGCTGCAAGGAGCTGTAGCGGGCTGGTGAGGGCTGGGATGAAGAAAAGACAGGTTACTAAGGCACAGTCCCCTGAACAGAAAGCTGAGACTGCCAGTCCTGGGGTGCTCTGTCCCAACACCAACCAGTAAGCATAGAGGATAACACCCTCTCCCTCACCTCCAGTGCCCAAAGGTAGCCTGCCCTGAACCAGCCCAGCCCACTCTGCACCCACATCCTCACCAGCTGCCTGGCTTCTCCTTCTGTCTCCTGTCCCACCCAGTAAGGTATAAGCCTAGTGAAGCGCCTGCCACACAGTGGATGCTCAATAAATGGGCTGAGACAACTGGGAGAGGCCCAGCGAGCTTTCTGATGCTGAGCTGACCTTGCATCTGGGCCTGGGGCCTCACCGTAAGCATTGGTGGCTAAACTGTTTGTGGGAACCGCATGCTTTCCATTCTGAGTGACGGCCCGGACAGGGAGATGGTGCTGCCCGATGGTTACTGGTGTGGCTGGCTGTAGGATGGTGACGGTGTGTCCAGGGACCCCAGGGGCCATCTGGCTGGCCACTGTCTGGATGACTCGGCTGGCTGCAGGAATTGTGGCAAAGGCAATGGTGGGCTTTTCCTCCAAGCCTGTGGGGAATGGGGTGAACCAGAGTGGGGTGCTCAGCTGTGGAGTGCTCTGCAGCACACACGAGGACCCTGGGTTCCGGTCCCAGCACCATAAAATGAAATAAAACATACTGAGTCACTGAGGTCAAAGATTTGCACCAATGGTTTGGCCAAGGGCCTCCCAGTATGTGCAAATATGTACATTCATCCATGTGCTAAGTGGCAGTTAGAAAACTGCTTCTCAAATGAAAACTGTGCTGACAAAATATATTTCCAAAGAAAAGTAATAAGGTTTTTGAAAAATATGCCTTAAACCTTGATCAAACCACACAATCTGAAAAAGAAAAAGTATAATTTGGAATGAAATAATTTGCTTTTTAAAAAGCAGTCTTCTTTCATCAAGATGCAGTTTTCACTGACAATATCAAAATAAAAAGTCACAAGATTGAGCCAACAGTGGCCCTGGATGCTGTCCAGGACAGAATTGCTCCCAAAAGACTCCCAGAGCCCAGGGCTCTGTCTGTATCCACCTGTGGATGTTCTGGGCTCACAGGCTTTTTAGGGATTCCCAGCTACTTTTCACCCCAATGACCCCTAAAGATGCTGGCTCTAGAGGGATCATCCTCCAGGCTTAGTTTCCCTCCCACAGGAGATGTTAAAACTATACAGGACTCCACAGCTTGATTCGTGTCACCTTGAACAGAAACAAAATTTGACCTAAGAGTCACATGCACTTGAAGAACCAGAGAGGAGGCCACCTGGCGACAGTCACTGCTTTAAAAAGACATGCTTAGCTAGGTATGCTGGCTCAAGCCTGTAAACCCAGCACTCTGGGAAGCTCAAGTAGGAGGATCACAAGGTCAAGCCCAGCCTGGGAAACATAGTTAGACCTTATCTCAAAATAAAAAATAAGACAAGGGCTGGCCCTTTTAGCCCAGTGCTAAAACTCTGGGTTCAATCCCCAGCACAAAAAAAAAAAAAAAAAAAAAAAAAAGTACGCACTCACAGGAGATGTCCTCCTCTTTGGCCTCTGCCTGCTGGCCCAGGCAATGGTGCATGGAAGTGACAATGTGGTAAGTGCTAGCAGTGTGGCCACATTACTCACCTCTGGCTTCACTGCCCAAGTCTAACACGGCTGTGCCCGCAGTGTCATGTGAGTTCCCTGCTGAGCCCTGGCTGGCAAGGATGTAGCCATTGGCCGAATTGGCGGAGGTGGTGACCACCCGGACCATGGTGACAGTGGGGGCCTGCTGCACAACGTGGATGGCGTGGCCTGAGGGCTGCTGTGAGGTCACTATGGAGGCTGGCATGTAGGCGACAGGCTTGGCCACTAGGTTGGACGGTCGGGGAGGCACGGCCATGATCACTGGCTGGGCACTGACAGGGGATCCTGCACAGGGAGAGAGAGGACAGTGACAGGAAAGTTCTGCTGGCTCCACACATGATTCCGCCACAGCCAGCAAAAGGACAGAACCATGCCTCACCAGGTGCGCTTTGGGAATATCGGTACTCTGGGACGGAGGCTAACTTCGAGCCCAGCTCAGGGTCATGTGGAATGGGGGAGCCCTCCCGAGACAGGCACTCTGGAGTCTGCAGGCCACTGGAGCGAGGGGACATCAGGCCAGGGTGAGTGGGTGAGGCTGGAGCACTCCTGAGAAAGGACGGAGAGAGAGAAGGCTTCCAACGTAAGTCAATTTGCCATTGGCAGAGAAGGACTTCAAACAACTGTCACACACCCCACTGTCTACCCTGCGTGTGCCCTCCCTGTGCCTCCTGGGGCTCTTCTGTGCCCCATTGAGGTCTGTCCAAGTCGAACATTCTGAATAGTGACCACTACCGCCTTGTGACATACGCAGCCCTGTTAGCTTCACACAGTGAAGATGGGCTTCCATTAAATGGGGAGCCTACATCACTGGTGGCTTCCCTACACATGCCACAGTTGACACATTTATCTCCTACAACACGTCAGCTCCTTCTACAGAAGAAGGCTCAGCTCAAATCAAAAGCCCCACTTCTGATGGGCACTGGGAAGACCAGTTCACCTGAGAACCAGGTCACGGCCCAGACTGGAAATGGAGTTCAAACTTTTGGGGATCTTTCACAGGGCAGGTTTGAAACGATCCTGAACAGAAAGCACCCTTATGTCTCCTCCATGTGAAATTCAGCCATGCCTGGGGCTGCTTCTCAGCTGTTCAAACTTGGAAAAGTCACCCACTTGTGCATGGGCAGAGGCAGCCTTGACCTACCAGGTCAGCAGGAGACAGAGCTGGGTGCTCCCGTGATGACTAAGACAGCCCATCCCACTCTGCCCACCATCAGACAAGCCGTGTCCCCCACACCAACTTGCCAGATTACAATAATGGTGGTTAGGTAGAGGCAGAGCCTCTTTCCTCCTCAGCCCTGAAAAGGTCCCCACACTGTGAGGATGAGGAGCAGCGGGCTGTCCTCAGGGTCCCCTCACACTATGAGAGAAAGCTCAGTCCTACCAGGTACTCATTCTGTCCCCCCTGGCTCTCACCACACGGGGAAGCAGTTAGACTAAGTGGACAGGCCTTGCCAGCTGCTGTGCACTCACAGTGCTGAGAACAGCTCTTGGGAACACAGCCGAGTGCCAGGGCACCAGACACCACCCTGCATGGGCCGAGCACAGAGGGGACTTACCGTGAGGACAGAGGCCCAAAGGGGGTGCGGAAGCAGGAGACGCCCCGCTGTCTCCGTTTTCGGAAGGCCTGTTCCACCAGTTTGGCCTCAGAGGCTGGGTCTATCCGCCAGAAAGAGCCCTTGCCAGGCTCCTCCTGGGACCGCGGGACTTTGATGAAGTAACGGTTTAGAGAGAGGTTGTGTCGGATGGAGTTCTGCGGGAAGGCAGAGAGAGCCTTGGTCACCAGCATATAGGAGCACAGTGGCTGCAGGACCAGAGATGATGCAGCAACAGGCTACACCGTGGCTGTGAGTCGACTGTGCCTCTCAAAGACTGAGGAGATTTTTCCCATCCAAACCCCACACAGGTAAGCCTATCACCACTCTTTACGGAGAAAGCAAAACAGAGAAGCCACACACAGGAGCATGACAACCTCCAGGAAAAGCCTGGGTCTGAGTTCAACCATCTGGGATAAACCAGCCACAGGGAAAACAGTGACTACAAGGAAAACACTGAACGGCAGCGACATCAGTACCAAGGTCTCAGACAAAGATCTCAGGGTCCTACACAGATAAAACATACACTGCTAGATGGGAATGGCGGCGTATGCCTATAATCCAGCAGTTTCGGAAGCTGAGGCAGAAGACTGCAAGCTGGTGCCAGCCCAGGCAATTTAGCAACTTAGCCAGACCCTGTCTCAAAATAATAAAAAAGAGCTGGGGATGTAGCTCAAGATGGAGTCCCTGGGTTCAGTCCCTAATATCACAAAAATTAAAAACAACTCCATTTCCAAGGCAGTACCACGTGGACTGCAGCATTCACATGCATAGATTATTTCCAAGGAATATAACGTATACTAGGCACAAAAGCCTAACAAGGGATGCGGGAACTGACCAAAAACTCATTTTAGCCTCTCAGGTCACTTCATGATCGCCCACCCTTAGCTGTAGGATGTAATTTTTTCCCCTACTTTTACTTCGCCCAAACTTAACTCTGCAGAGCCTGTTTTTTCCTATCTTTAATAATGTGAAACTTTGCCACCAAAAAAAAAGGGAAGTCTCTTTAAACTCAAGAGCACTGCAGCTCTGACATATTCTGGATGCACCCATGTTGCCCAAAAAAGGCGCACCCTGTGTCTCTTCCTGCTGCGTCACTCCACGAGTGGAGTTGTGAGCCCACCAGCCCCGGTGCTGAGACCCGCCTCACCTGCCAGCCCTTGTCGGCCGTCCTGTAGTAGGGGTAATGTTTGGTGATGTGCGCGTAGATGCCACTTAGTGTTAGCTGCCTATCTGGGGCCGAGGATATGGCCTGCACAATCAGCTGGGCATAGGAGTATGGTGGCTTCGACTCGTCCTGCACAGATATAGGGACAACAGGGTCATTAGACGATCGCCTCCATGTCACCAGCCCACAAGGAAAACCTCCCAACAAGGGCACTTGGGTCTGAACCAGCTCCATCCCAGAGACCCCTAGCTCAATGCACTTGCATTAACTCGCAGTTGTCACTTCTGCCTCGTGGGAAGGAAAAGCTCAGCTTCTACTGCAGTTTAATTCTTAAGCGTCCCTCCTCCCTGGACACATTATGTCAGGTCCCAGGTAGAAATGAACAGAGGCGCATGCTAAAGGAAGATGTGCCGTTTCTCTCAGAGACTGTCATTACAACTCAGAAACCATCTTGTCAGGAGCAGACAAGAAGATAAACGTGTTGCAACGGTGACCTCAAGTCACAGAAATGGTCACATTCATCATTTGAGCTGGACAAAGCTGGAAGGTTACTGGCTCTACTGACCACCAAGCCACATGTGTGCCCTACAGCATCATGTGTGCCACCCTCTGGGCCCTACTGCCTGGTCCTGTCACCACAGGTGCTGAGGCTCCAACCTTGGGGCTGTCCCCACCGGACGTGTCTGCCTGCTGCTCCGAGGCAGCCTTCGCTGCAAACTCCGCAGCCAGCTGCAGGTCTGAGGTCACATTCTGCACGTAGCGGTAGCCAGAGGACCCAGCTCCACGTGGACTGGCTGGGCAAGAATTGGGGACACTGCAAAGGGAAAGAACACATGGTTAAGGTCTTGACTTTAGAGGAAGGACTGTGCAAGGGGCAGTTCTGGGATCACCCGAGGTGATGGACTCACCACTCTCCCCACCACATACAGCAGCAAGACACTGAACAACCTCCTCAAGAGACAGGGAACACCCAGGGCAGAGGTCCCACAGCACAGGCACAGGATCCCCATGATAGCAATATGTTCTCTTCAAGCAGCAGCCCCTGCTGCAGGGCCAAGGCCACCTGAGCCCTAAGTCTGCAGGCAGAGGTGATGGGGGCTTCCTGCCCACCGAGGTGATGCAGCTCTCACATGCCCATGCTTCCCTATCAGCCAGGACCAGCTCGAGGCAAGGGGACCAATTAAGCATCTCTGGCAGCAGCTAGGTAGTGCACGGGCATCCACAAGATGGCACCCTAAGAAAAGACTTGAGATGGAGAGCAACTCCTCCCAATTACACAGAAATGCATGCCATGGAAAGCACCAGGGACCTGTTGGATTAAGGATCAAGAGCAGAGCTGGGCATGGTAGTGTATGCCTGTCATCTTGGCACTCTGGGAGGCTGAGGCAAGAAGATCACAAGTTTGAGCCCAACCTTGGCAACTGAGTGACTCAGTGAGACCCTGTTTCAAAATACAAAGAGCTGGTGATAATGTACCTAGCTCAGTGTGAAAGTGCCGGATTTAATCTCTAGCATCTTACACACACACACACACACACAAACACACACACACACACACACACAAACACACACACACACACACACACACACACACACACACACACACACACGCAAGCTGTAGCCTGTTTCCTCTCATTAGTATATGCAGGCTTTAGTTATCAAACCACATCAAAACCTTGATTCTGAAAAGGATTTCTATTCAAAACATTCTGAGAAAACCAAACTAAACATGGCAGGTGGGTGTGGGTGCCAAGATCAAAAGCCCTCGCATGGTCTCTCTGCCCACGTGTCCTGCCTCACATGTTACATCGTCATACCCAGAGCCTGTATTGGCATGGGCCTGGCCTTGAAACGGATGGGACAGACATTCCTCTGCTGCCTACCCTCAGACCACCCAGAACCACGGGAGGGGGTGGCTCTCCCCACACCTGGTTCCACATGGCCACCGCCACCCCGTGTCCACTGCCCAAACACCACGTCCCCTGCATGCATCGGAACTCAGCCCCATGCTGCCTTCTCCCCCTCGGCCTGAACAGGACCCCAGAGGGTCCCAATCTGTCTCCCTCTCAGCAGCAGCAATCAGGGCTCAGGAAACACTGCTGGATGGAGCAAGGGACAAATGAAAAGCAGAATTCCACTAAGAAAACCCTGTGGCTGCCACTGGGAGAAACTCAAAGCTGACTGCTACCCTTTCAGAGATGAATCAGTTCAAGCCAAGCAGAATTCTTAGCATTCTAATCTATGACTGACTCTTTTTCTTTTCCTTTTTCTCTCTTTTCTTTCTTTCTTTCTTCTTTTTCTTTTTTTGGTGGTATCAGTAATTGAACCCACGGCCTTCACACTGAACTACTCTTTCTGCTCTTTTTTTAAATTTTGAGACAGGATCGTGCTGAACTGTTCATGATGGGCTCAAACTTGTGATCCTCCTCCTGCCTCAGCCTCCTAAGTCTGTGAGATTACATAGGAGTGCGCCATCATATCACACTTCTAATTTGTGAACTTCTGTTCTCTTTTCCATCTGATTTCCAAATCTGCGGAAGACAGGTCTACCTTGTGTACACAGAAAATTTTTCCTATGTTGTGCTGGCCACACCTCCATCTCTTTCCAGAAGCCTGCATTTCCAGGACCAGCTCAAACTTCTGTCATGTGAAGATATCCTAATTAAAAACTGTTCATGAGCTGTGTGACTGGGGAGAGCAAAATATAAGATTTCTAAATTTGATTCTGAACAGAAAATACAACCCACACATACAGGTGGGAAGGGGACAGAAGCTCTCACTAGTAACATCTCACACACTCAAAAATCAGGTTTTAAAATGCAACTATCTGGGAACCAAATTTCACTGGCTGTGGCAGAGAGTTATTTGAGAAATACAATGGGAAGGTGATGTGGGCACCTCGTTGGACTGAAGCTCTGCAATGGATCCAAGCTCTTGGATAGCCCTTGGGCTCAGGGAGGTGGCCGTGAGGTTCAGGGCTGTGCTGCAGATCATGAGACTAAGGTGTTGCCCATACACATAAGCAGTTACCCTCTCTGCAACACACCAGGGAATGTCCAGCTTGAGTAGGAGCTGGCCAGGGAGAGCTCATCCCAAACACCTTGCACACAGGCACTGAGGCAAGTGAGGGCTTCCATCCTGCGTGGTCTGGCAGTGGTGCATCCTGTGAGTGTGGATGATTCAGGGTAACTATGGGGCAGCTGTGGGAAGGCCCATGCTGCCTGCACCCATAGGTGCTTTGTAAAAACTCAAGTGCAGAAATGTGCAGGTGTGGTGGTGCAGACCTATATATATAACCTATAATTGAGCTCTTTGGGAGGCTGAGGCAAGAGGATTCCAAGTTGGAGCACAGCCTGGATAACTTAAGACAAGATTCTATCTTAAAAGAAAAAGTAAAAAGGCTGGAGATGTAGCTCAGTAGGAAGGCTAACCCCTGCCAAAAGAAAAGAAAAGAAAAGAGACAGAGAAAAGAAAAACAGAAGGTAGAATGTGAGTCTGTGTCCTGCAGGGAAACCCCAGGCTGAGCCATCCCTCCCCACAAGATGGATGAGAAGAAATAAGACACCAGGCTTGGCAGAGTCTGATTCAAAAACGAGGGGAAAGGCAGAGCAATCCTTTGGATGCTTTTCAGTCTGGGTTTCCCGGCAGCGCCAGGTCAGGCTGATGCTCACTCAGTTTTTCCGGCCTGCGGGACCACTCCTTTCTCAATAACCCCATTCAGCTATCCCTTGAGCCGCCTGCAGCCAGGGCTGTGCCTGGGACAGGCCACCTGACGCCATGTCTCCATTTCAGCGGCTGTGGAAAGGGAGATGCCAGAGACTCCAGAAGAGCTCAGGGATGTCAAATACACCACACGAAGGCCAATCCAGATGTCCCAGGCCTTGCTAGGATGGGGGCATCTGTGCTCGAGAGCAGAGGTCCCTACTTTCACATGGGAAAGCTAGCCCTCATCACAGGCCAAATGCCAGGGACACAAATGCAGCATACCAGTCCACTGCAAAACTCTCTCATAGCTGGGTATGGGGGTTACCCCTGAAATCCCAGCATTTTAATAGCTAGGACAGGAGGATACCACAAATTAGAGGCCAGCTTGGGCTACAGAGTCAGGTCAAGGCAGCCCTGAACTACAAAGTGAGACCTTGTCTCAAACCAAACCAAACCAAACCAAACCAAACCAAACCCACAGAAAACCAACAACTCTCTAACAGCATCTGGGGAAGGCGTTAGAGGACAGCGTAAACACTAAGTCTCTGTGGGGCCAGGGACCACCTCCTTTCTCTCCTTTGCACAAATTCCCATGTCCCACAGTCCCATGTCCCACATTCCATCTCTACACAGTGTGAGAAAGTGGGAAGCTATGAGAGTATGTGAGCTTCCAGTGGCTGGCCTGTCCCCAGCTCATCCCTGCAGTGGCCTGCTCTGACCAGGATAGCCCACAATGGCCCCCATGGTCCACACCTCAGGGCCCAGCTGAGACATGCTTGGCAGTGTAGGCGCCTCCCAAGGCCAGGGCACTGACAAGCAGGAACAGAAGTGCCTCAGTCTTACAGACAGGAACTGAGGCTTAGGACACAAACCTGCCACTATCAGCCAGCTAAAGCCAGCTCTGGGGCCAGAGTGGCCATCCTGGACCCACAGCTGCCACCTCGAGATGGCCAAGGCCCCCCACTGACTGAGACTGACCTCTATGGTTCCTTTCAGTTGCAGCCCTTTAGTCCAAGTGGAAACCAGGGCTGCTGGGCAGGGAGGGCAGGGGGGCTGAAATAACATGTGGGGGTACAGTATGTAGACGTGCCCAACACCTGTGGATCCCAGATCCCAGACTCCACAACAGACAAGCTCAGGTCAGGCGAAGCCCTACACACGTGGATATCAGGAGGACTATGTGTCCTTGCTGCCCCACGCAGCCCTGAAGCACTCTTGAGATCTCACTAGTGGAGGACACTCAGGGCCTGCTCCCAGCCCCAAGTGCTTCGTTCTTGCGCCAGCCATGCAGCCAGCAGGGACCCTGCAGAACAAAACAAAGAACAGAGGGACACAGAAAGGGCCACCATGCCAGGGCACAACACAACACAATAGCCCTGGAGAGCCAGATATGATGGACCCATGAGGGGGTAAAAACACTACTAAAAGCATACATGAGAGAAAAAAATGTTCTTTCAAATTAAAAATAAAAACAAGTAATAGGAGAACACAAAATTCAACAGAATGTAACAGGAAGGATGGAGAAGTCCCCCGTAAAGCAGAGAATGCAGTGAAAGGAGAGATGGGGGGATGTAAGGACATTCAGGAGGCTACCGGTCACCTGGACACCAGAGAGTCCAGAGAGGGGAAGAGTTCCCGAGCAGAAAGATGATGCCCAGTGCTATCGGGAGGGTCCTCAGGGGAAGGGCCCACTTGTGTCCCACCCAGAGGATGGAGACTCTGCACGCCTATCATGGTGGCACTGCACATACCAGAGACACCAGGTGCCCCTTCGGGTCTTTGGGAGAAAGTGCCAGGAATCAGTGTCTGACTTAAAGCAACCTCTGAAACCAGAAAAAGAATTTAAATTCTTCGGGGTGTGGGGGAAGGGGGTGTCCAACCTAGACTTATCTAGAAAGCTTCATCCAACGAGAGTGAAAATGTAACATTAATTTTCGGACATGGAAGATTTTTTTAAATGTACCTCTCTGTACCCTTTCCCAGGAAGTGCATGAAGAATGCACCCTGATTAAACAAAGGAGGAAATCAGGAAACAGGAGGCCACTAGAGTTAGGAGAGACACCCTTAGCCTCTCAGGATTCCCAGGTGGCAGGGAAGATGATTTTATGG